AGATGAGTACACAGATAACCAAACACAATAAAATGTTTTGTGATATTTTGTTTGACCAGCGTTTCATATTTATAGATTACCGACTTTTCTAACACACCGTCATGACAGGTAGGTTGACAGACCTATATTGACAGCAGCTAACGAATGGCTATTTAACCACAACAATCAAAAACCGTGGTACAAGTAGGTTGATAACTGCTGCTATGATGATAATACAAAATATTATTATCATTAGTTATCATATTTTTCTACTATCTATGTTCTACATTCAGCAAGTAACAGCACAGTACATTGAATACGTTGTATTAAATTATCTATTAAACTTTAATACACTTACCTATTAAATTAATGGTGTGTCCAAGAATGTAACGTCAAAATAAAGTCGAGAGCAAATATTATCAATTGATATATTTAAAAAATTATAAAATAACGAGTTATGACATAACTACAATAAGCATGCTATCATATTTACTATAAAGTAAAATGTAAATTTACTAACATTTTTTAATTACGTTTGCAATTTCTCATTTCACTAATGGAAAACGTGTGAACTTCGAAGTCGAAATTTGTTAGCGATGAGGTTATGTACAAATAATAAATATAATGCGATTTTGTACAAATAATAAAATATATTATGGGTACTGGTCACTCGATTATTCCGTGGTAACTGATGCATAGTTTAGATACTAGATTGTTATCCGAGATAACCAGCTAATGACTAGCTCCAGCTAGATTAGGTTAAAGTGTAAAGTCCGTTATCCGTAACAGTCTACCTTTCGTCTAATAATGTATGGTTATTTATTATATGTGATTATGATACGGAATGCGTTAACATCAAATTATTATTATATTTGATGTGATGACCGTCGTAATAAAACTACTTGTCTTTGTCGAATCGAATGAAATTATTAAGAAATATAGACAAAATTCAAATCTTTACAAAGTCATAAACAGCGAACAAATGGATGAAAATTAAAAATTCAAACGCTAACATTTTTTTAGATTTTTTGTCTTTATATTTATGGAATTTAAAACATATGTTCCCATTTGAAAAAACGAGGTTCGTACTTATTTAACGTATAAGGGTTGAAGGTAAAATTTTTCTAAATATTGAAAAATGTAGCTAAATATGTACCTAAAATTTTAGGAAAAAAAAATTCGCAAAATATTCATACTTTCAGAGAAAATGAGTGTCTTACGTTAGTTGGATCACCCTGTACATCATTGTCTTTTATATGACAATAATTAATTATTAAATGTCGAATTGCTCTTTAAGAACTTGGTCGATTACAATATAAAGTAGGTACTCTATATAATGCAGTACCTAATTATCCTCCTTATTATCTTCTCATTTATCAGTCAGATAATGTTATATCTATAAATTACCCGTGCTGGTTTGAATTGTGTTTGGTTTAAACTGAGCTTGGTTTGGACCATGTTGAGTTAAACTATACCCTTTTTAATTGTTTTGTTTATTTTTATTTGGTATGTTTATTTGTTTTGTGATTATATAACAAGTCATACACTGAATTTCAAGATGTTAACCTATATAATAGTCTTCAAAATTTACGTGTTGACTAGAATGTTTTTTTTTTACAAAACTTATAGACATATGTTTAACCTATCTTCACTCTAATTTTCAGTTCTTAAAACTTACAATAGCACCTAAAAGTAGGTAGGTATAATAGTATTAGGTTGTGAAGTAAAAAAAACACTGTTTTAAAATATAAAGTATCCGTTAGTTGTATGATTAAATCTTGTTCGGTAGTACTATTAATGTTTATTTTAAAGTAATACCATCACTTTCAGTCTAAATAATTCATTTTGACCTGTGACCTTGCAACACCCTACTGTACTACATAACAATAATAATACATCACTGTATTTTTTATGACAATAAATAATAAATAAACGTCATAATGCACATCAAATAAAAATAGTATACTTATTAAGAAACTCTTAAAAAACTTGGGCTACTACAATATAAAGTATTCCATAATGCTGTACACTAAATAATCAGTATGGGGACGCACAGTGGGACGGATGGCCGATCTAGGTAGAAAAAATGTGATACTTATCCTATCTTATCAGAAATTTCACGCTGATCACGAAAATGGCATCGAGGTCGCACAGGACGTAAAATATCTTTTTTCTCAGTTTAGGCTTTAATAATCCAGTCGGAAACCAATATATCAGTACATACATATTGTACAATAATATTGTTTAAAGACATTGTATGTTTAAAGGAATTATTAGTTAGATAAGGTTATTACATAAGTTATGTTAGACCGTTAATTACCCCATCAGTTTTCACTGGTATTGCCCCTATCAGACTATTTTTAATGTATTTAATTAAAAGCTGTAATATTTAGGTATATTATAAGAAAATAATTGCAATCCTTGCCAGTTTGTGATATATTAGGAACAGTCAATAACGTAAACAATTAGAAATGCTTAATTTGAGATGAGTTTTAATGTGGAAAAATATTACAACAAAAGTGATAAAAAAATTGATTATTATTTTTTGGTATGAAAAAAGTTGTTTATCATTTTGATACATCTGATATAAGGTTTTGGTAACAACAGTTTTTAAATTATGTGCTCATCTAAATTTTAGCTATCATATTTTAAGAGACATGCCATTGACCTGTATTACTACTGACTGATATTCCCCTATAAGTAATCTTAAATTTAAAAGAGTGTACATTTTTGGGTGGTTTTCTCGATTTTGAAGGGGAAGGGTTAAATTTTTAATTTTTCGGTCAAATAAAGTACCTTTCAGGTACGATCTCTGATCTATTGAGTTGCTACACGGAGAATCGGTTAAGAATATCGTGGGTCCAGATAAAAAAAAAATAAAAACACATTGTGAGAACAATTACTCCTCAGCTCCGCATCAGAGCTAAATTAGAGAGAAATAAATTACAGAAACGAACGAACAAATTGGCTCGATTTTCTTAAAAAATTCGAGTAAAAGAATGACTAATTTAAAAAATTCGACTTTTGCGCAAAAATGCGCTGAAAACCTGATAAATAGTCGGATAGATAATTAAAATACATATCTAAAGGTGAAAGAATTGCTCTGACCTATTGTGGCATATGTTACTTTTTGGCAAAATTGCCCAAAATTACTTTCGCGTCTAAAGTTTCAATATAATATTGATAGAAAATATTATGTACCAATCAGTATTAATGTATTTATGTATTAACAGTTCATTAAATAATAACATTATGGATACATCTCTTGCTATTATACTTTTAACTCTATGATTTGGCTTTGTCGAGAAGCTCAGGGGGTGAACACTTTCAAAATTCAACACTGTTGTTGTAAACATTTCTGTAAACCTGTGACCTTCCCGTCCCCACTATGCCCCGACCCCACTAAACTTGTTTTTTATAACGTTTTTATGAACTCACAATCTTGTTAAATTTTTTTTTTACCAGAAAATGATATAACCTTTGTGCTTACTACAATTTAAATTCTGAATTATCATTAAAGATATTTTATTGGATTCTAAGAAGAAAAAAATTGAATTTTTTTAAAATATAACTTAGATAACGCTTCGATTGTAAAACCAATGCATTAAAAAGACAACAGTTTAAAATATGGTTCACACTTATATAAACAAGTAAACATCGTACAATATATTTGCATACTGCAAAACTTCGTTAGATTTTACAATTTTGTTAGTTAACAAATCGCAAGAAAATCACTTTTAAACGGTTGCTGTAACATAGGTGTTCACAAGAGTTTTACCATAACTTCAAAAGTTACTAGTAAGTATTTAATACATTTTTTACTAAGTTTTGGTGCTTGGTTTTGCAATAAATTTTTAACCGCTTAGCTAATATTATTTAAGACTATATTACAGAAACTATTCACCATTCTATTCGTGTAGCATGTCTATAGATCAAAATCGAACCTAAAATGTGCCTCATTTGGCCCAATATCCATAAATATAACATACAAAATCAGGAAAAACAACCAAAAAAATATGCATGTTTTTCAACTTAAATTAACATAACGCAATATGTTAGTAAAAAAGCAGATATTTATTTTAAAACTAAAAGCCCATCAAATGTATACATTTTAAATTTTCAAGTTTATTACCGCTCTGTAAGTATCTTTATTTAAAATAATTAAAATAATTCCAGATTTCTATGAAATATTCTTTAATTAGATACAGTGCGCGTTCAATTAAAAACCCTTTATAAACTTCATGTAAAATATCGTTAGGTATTGTTTTTCCAATGATGTGTTTTTTTATTTGTGTTTTTGAACATTTGAATTTGCTTGTTTGATAATACCATATTGTTACAGATAGGCATTACGGCGAATACAAATTTTGTAAAAAAATAACACTTAAACAAATGTTTTTTTTACATACATATTGTGCGTTGTGTTTTACATATTGCTTAGTTAACACATTTTTTGTCATCGAGTTCAAAGTGTAATAATAATTGTATCGGTAGCTTTTGTGTAAACACAAGATTTAGGTAAACCTGAACGTATCCAAATGTATATTTAAAACATGAAAAGATGAATCATGGCGAATGTACACATTATATTGTGTACTTTTACATACAGTCTGTAGATAACAGATCTATTACTACGGCAAAAATAATTAATAACTTATTGTAATCAATTTATCTATATTGTTATGGATATAAGTGTCAAAATAGAATCTTTGTTACGTGTTGATTCAAGAAAAACTTATCCGATTGACATGTTGAGTTTTCCAACCCATAGACCATGTTATAATTTTATAACAAAATCCTTCTTAGTTCCGCATCAGAGCCTATATAATTAATTGACAACTAATATAAATGTCTAAAAAAGAAGTGTTTTTGTTTATAATTTTTTTGCAGATAAAAATGAAACGTGTTTGTGTTTTGCTACCACTGGTCTTTGTTAGTGTTTTAGCAGGTCGCCAAAGTAATTTTTATTCAACTTATTTTCACACGAGGTAATTAATATTTAATGACTAACTTTCCTACAGTGTCCTATGAGCAAAAGGTCTATACCACAAGTCAGTAATTTTTTTTTATCATACAAATTTTAACTAAATGTTTTAATATTTATATATACTTATTTTAAATAATTTATTACAGACATAATAATCGCGAGAACAGAACGTAAGATGTATTTTAAATTAATATACTAACACGTAATGTTTATTGTTTTGTCAAGTTTTCCTGAATATCAGACGATTTATAAATTAATAATTATAGCTTCTAAATTCTGTTCAGATGAAGAGTGCACAAAATGTATAGTTTCAGTGTTTTGATCACTTTGTAAATACTTTATGTAGCATTTTCTGTAATTTACTTAAAGCACGCTTAGCTATAGAAATTGATAATATTTAGCTTATCTAGGGTGAAAAATGTTAAATGGTCAACAATTAAAACATGGTGTTACTTGTTTTATGTCTTAATCGATTTAATTTGTTACAGATGTGTTTCCCCAAGTACTTAGAAAAATTGTTCGTGAAAATCAATCGATGGGTATTATCGATAACTATTATTATGTAACACAAAATTAATAAAGCTTAGAAAACAGTTTTTTGAAAGTGATATATAAACTTCAACGAAGGTTTACTTGTACGCAAATTTATCAGTGATGCATCGTCGCTTAAGCGGCAACAACGAATATCTCATTTTCTTTAACCGAATTAAGTTGGTATCACTGTTCAAAATTTCGTGGGGCATTAGCTTGTGGGCTCAGATTAACATGTAAAGACAATAAATGACGTACTATTCCAGTAATTAACAACATAGTTGTTATGTTATTGAATGATAGTTGAAATTGATTTTTTGCTATCCTGTAACTAATCCATTTTTTTATGTACATTTTAGAAGAACTAGTTATCATGTTTGTTGTACCGGGTAATAATATTTCTTAAAATGTATGCACGTATTTGCATATAGTTGTTTAATATTAACTACAAAATGTATTCGTTTTAATTTCAGAAAAGGCAAATATTGAAAACGATTTGAAAAGTAATTATTACTCTTATATAGTTACTCTTTTATATTTATAGTGCTTTACATAGTCCATATGTGCATAATTTATATAAATATACTAATCAAATAATAATTTCTTTCTTAAAAAATATGTCCATTAAAATGAATGACTTTTTTAAATAAAATTTAGAATACTTAGATAACGAAACTGATCTGCAAAATGAAATAACCGCCGCCCTATATCATGTAGGTAAGTATAATAATTTGTAAATAACCAATTTCAAAAATAATAGTTATTTATTTCTAAAAAACGATAAAAGTTTGATTTGAGCTCAAAGTCTTGAAGTTATATTTTTTTTTTATTAATAGTTTTGATAATTGTTTGAAAAATAATTATTCCAATGCTTTATTATTATTATTTTTAATAATAAGTCTACATAAACTCAGTTATAGATAAATGTTATATAGGTATATAGTATATAACTTCATACAAAAATAAAATAAAGATAAAAGTACTAAAAATAAATGAATATTTTACTATGTTTTATTTATTCAAATAATATTGCCAGTAATTTATTCGAAAATATTTTGAAAATTTTTCTTGTTTCTTGAAAAATGTTTGACTAAACAACCGTTCTAGCTTTATGAGTTTTTACCGTTAATCAGGTCTTACATACACCCTCATTATTTAGATTTTTTATCAAACTAATGTTTTTATTCGGATGACATTGTTATTAACCGTTATTCGAATAAAAAATGCCCACTCTGCATATGCCGTCTAATATGAGATAGTAAATTATACTAAAAATCGACATTATTTTCTTGCTGTTATCCGTTGCTGTTCTACTTTTTAAGAATGTGTCAACATTTATCATTAAATTATGGCGATCATTTTTTAATATTTATTATTTATGCCGATTTTATTATTCGGAGTTTTTTTTTTTATAGCTGAACTCATGCTATTTGTTTTTTATAGATAATTCTGCAACGAGCTCCGAGGGTAATCCACTACCAGGTAGTTATTATAATCATTAAAAAATATAAAAAGAAAGCTCAGAAAACACAGTATATAAAAAAATTGCAGCATTGATATAACTCTATGCAAATTCACCAGCGATACACCGTCGCTTTATAGGTATAATATTTTGTCGTCTAGACGGTTATTTGTTATTTTTTGCAGTTGATCCACCTATCTCTAACCTCATTACACTTGGACAAACGAGAAGATATCTGACTGGAGACGATCTAGAGATTTTATTCGATACTATAAAATCAAGTAAATATTATATCGAATTGACAATTGTAATAGTTTAATCTATATATATATAAATCTTATTATATATATATATATACACATACTTTAACTGACATAAAAAAATGATATCTTAATTTTTTCGCAACATTTTTACTGTTAACTCAAAGCACACTACTTTATTCACTACTTTACACCGAATTACATTCGGTTTATTTGTTTAATTTAGTTCTTGTTCTTTAATTTTCTTGAACATTATGTTCAAGAAAATCTCAGGTTTCCGTTGAAAATAAGAGGCTTTGTTTTTAATAAATTTAATTATGAAACAAACCAGGGTTCAGTTTTTTTAAGTGTATTTTATACAATTTTGATGAATAATATTATTGGGTGTATTCCCATTTTATCTGCATTTTAAAAACTTTTTGACTGAGAGTATGTGTGTACTAATTATGTCTGTAGTTGTGTTTTGCACATTAAATAAATGTAACAACTAGAAAGTTAAGTTTGGCAAATTTTTAAATAAATCTTTTTTATATTATTTTAGATCAAGCGCATAAAGATTACCAAAATAAACACATGATGTGTCGTTTAAAAGGATTGGTTAAAAGTATAATTTGGCCAGAAGGATATGTAATAAAATATGCATTGGGGGAAACCATGGAATCAACGGGTCGAGTAATTTGTGAGCTAACTACTATACGTAACGATGTTGAGCGGAGTTTAGTATGATAGATGTCTGCATAAGTAGTCGTTAATAAAAAGTTTAAATCATTAATAGAAAAAAATATTCAAAATTGCTTCTCAGTTATTATAGTTTAGACCAGGAATTTTAGAATTAATTCATTACAAATTATACAGCACTATTGTTATTCTATTAAAATAATTATTCCAAACCACACTTTCCTCCTAAATTTTTAAATGTAATGTGTTTTTTTTTTAATAAACAGTTTTGCTTATGGTTATAATCATATTAGTTGTTTTTTACATATATATCTACAGGTTGTAATCGAAGTGTTCATGAAAATAGCATTTACAGGCATAGTCTGTTTACACTGATTGTCAAAAAATAATAGGTATTATGTATTAGGTTGTGAAAGAAAAAAAAAACTGTTTTAAAATATAAAGTATCCGGTACTTGTGTGATTAAATCTTGTTCGGTAGTATTATTAAAGTTTATTTTTTAGTAATATCATCACTTTCAGTCTTAATTCACTCTAATTAATTTTTACCTATAACCTTGCAACACCCCACTGTACTGAATAACAACAACAATACATCATTGTCTTTTATATGACAATAATTAATTATTAAATGTCGAATTGCTCTTTAAGAACTTGGTCGATTACAATATAAAGTAGGTACTCTGTATAATGCAGTACCTACTTATCCTCCTTATTATCTTCTCATAATCATATTAGTTGTTTTTTACCTATATACCTACAGGTTGTATTCGAAGTGTTCATGAAAATAGCATTTACGGGCATAGTCTGCTTACACTGATTGTCAAAAAATAATAGGTATTATGTATTAGGTTGTGAAAGAAAAAAAAAACTGTTTTAAAATATAAAGTATCCAGTACTTGTATAATTGAATCTTGTTCGGCAGTATTAACATTAAAGTAATATCAATACTTCTGTCTTAACAATTCGTTTTGACATGTGACTTGCAACACCCCACTGTACTGAATAACAACAACAATACATCATTGTCTTTTATATGACAATAATTAATTATTAAATGTCGAATTGCTCTTTAAGAACTTGGTCGATTACAATATAAAGTAGGTACTCTATATAATGCAGTACCTAATTATCCTCCTTATTATCTTCTCATTTATCAGTCAGATAATGTTATATCTATAAATTACCCGTGCTGGTTTGAATTGTGTTTGGTTTAAACTGAGCTTGGTTTGGACCATGTTGAGTTAAACTATACCCTTTTTAATTGTTTTGTTTATTTTTATTTGGTATGTTTATTTGTTTTGTGATTATATAACAAGTCATACACTGAATTTCAAGATGTTAACCTATATAATAGTCTTCAAAATTTACGTGTTGACTAGAATGTTTTTTTTTTACAAAACTTATAGACATATGTTTAACCTATCTTCACTCTAATTTTCAGTTCTTAAAACTTACAATAGCACCTAAAAGTAGGTAGGTATAATAGTATTAGGTTGTGAAGTAAAAAAAAACACTGTTTTAAAATATAAAGTATCCGGTACTTGTATGATTAAATCTTGTTCGGTAGTACTATTAATGTTTATTTTAAAGTAATACCATCACTTTCAGTCTAAATAATTCATTTTGACCTGTGACCTTGCAACACCCTACTGTACTACATAACAATAATAATACATCACTGTATTTTTTATGACAATAAATAATAAATAAACGTCATAATGCACATCAAATAAAAATAGTATACTTATTAAGAAACTCTTAAAAAACTTGGGCTACTACAATATAAAGTATTCCATAATGCTGTACACTAAATAATCAGTATGGGGACGCACAGTGGGACGGATGGCCGATCTAGGTAGAAAAAATGTGATACTTATCCTATCTTATCAGAAATTTCACGCTGATCACGAAAATGGCATCGAGGTCGCACAGGACGTAAAATATCTTTTTTCTCAGTTTAGGCTTTAATAATCCAGTCGGAAACCAATATATCAGTACATACATATTGTACAATAATATTGTTTAAAGACATTGTATGTTTAAAGGAATTATTAGTTAGATAAGGTTATTACATAAGTTATGTTAGACCGTTAATTACCCCATCAGTTTTCACTGGTATTGCCCCTATCAGACTATTTTTAATGTATTTAATTAAAAGCTGTAATATTTAGGTATATTATAAGAAAATAATTGCAATCCTTGCCAGTTTGTGATATATTAGGAACAGTCAATAACGTAAACAATTAGAAAAGCTTAATTTGAGATGAGTTTTAATGTGGAAAAATATTACAACAAAAGTGATATAAAAATTGATTATTATTTTTTGGTATGAAAAAAGTTGTTTATCATTTTGATACATCTGATATAAGGTTTTGGTAACAACAGTTTTTAAATTATGTGCTCATCTAAATTTTAGCTATCATATTTTAAGAGATATGCCATTGACCTGTATTACCACTGACTGATATTCCCCCATAAGTAATTTTAAATTTAAAAGAGTGTACATTTTTGGGTGGTTTTCTCGATTTTGAAGGGGAAGGGTTAAATTTTTAATTTTTCGGTCAAATAAAGTACCTTAAAGGTACGATCACTGATCTATAGAGTTGCTACACAGAGAAATCGGTTGAGAATATCGTGGGTCCAGATAAAAAAAAAAGAAAACACATTGTGAGAACAATAACTCTTCAGCTCCGCATCAAAGCTAAATTAGAGAGAAATAAATTACAGTAAAGGACGAACAAATTGGCTCGATTTTCTTAAAAAATTCGAGTAAAAGAATGACTAATTTAAAAAAATTCTACTTTTGCGCAAAAATGCGCTGAAAACCTGATACATAGTCTGATAGAGAATTAAAATACCTATCTAATGGTGGAAGAATTGCTCTGGCCTATTGTGGCCATATGTTACTTTTTGGAAAAATTGCCCAAAATTGCTTTCGCGTCTAAAGTTTCAATATAATATTGATAGAAAATATTATGTACTAATCAGTATTAATGTATTTATGTATTAACAGTTCATTAAATAATAACATTATGGATACATCTCTTGCTATTATACTTTTATTGTTAACTCAAAGCACACTACTTTATTCACAGGCAATGTAATTCGGTTTAATTGTTTAATTTAGTTCTTGTTCTTTAATTTTCTTGAACATAAGGCAAAACTCCGGTTACCATTGAAAATAAGAGGTTTTTTTTTAAATAAATTTAATTTTAATTTACGTTCAGGATATAAAATATGTTTCACACTTATATAAACAAGTAAACATCGTACAATATATTTGCATACTGCAAAACTTCGTTAGATTTTACACTTTTGTTAGTTAACAGATCGCAAGAAAATCACTTTTAAACGGTTGCTGTAACATAGGTGTTCACAAGAGTTTTACCATAACTTCAAAAGTTACTAGTAAGTATTTAATACATTTTTTACTAAGTTTTGGTGCTTGGTTTTGCAATAAATTTTTAACCGCTTAGCTAATATTATTTAAGACTATATTACAGAAACTATTCACCATTCTATTCGTGTAGCATGTCTATAGATCAAAATCGAACCTAAAATGTGCCTCATTTGGCCCAATATCCATAAATATAACATACAAAATCAGGAAAAACAACCAAAAAAATATGCATGTTTTTCAACTTAAATTAACATAACGCAATATGTTAGTAAAAAAGCAGATATTTATTTTAAAACTAAAAGCCCATCAAATGTATACATTTTAAATTTTCAAGTTTATTACCGCTCTGTAAGTATCATTATTTAAAATAATTAAAATAATTCCAGATTTCTATGAAATATTCTTTAATTAGATACAGTGCGCGTTCAATTAAAAACCCTTTATAAACTTCATGTAAAATATCGTTAGGTATTGTTTTTCCAATGATGTGTTTTTTTATTTATGTTTTTGAACATTTGAATTTGCTTGTTTGATAATACCATATTGTTACAGATAGGCATTACGGCGAATACAAATTTTGTAAAAAATTAACACTTAAACAAATGTTTTTTTTACATACATATTGTGCGTTGTTTTTTACATATTGCTTAGTTAACACATTTTTTGTCATCGAGTTCAAAGTGTAATAATAAATGTATCGGTAGCTTTTGTGTAAACACAAGATTTAGGTAAACCTGAACGTATCCAAATGTATATTTAAAACATGAAAAGATGAATCATGGCGAATGTACACATTATATTGTGTACTTTTACATACAGTCTGTAGATAACAGATCTATTACTACGGCAAAAATAATTAATAACTCATTGTAATCAATTTATCTATATTGTTATGGATATAAGTGTCAAAATAGAATCTTTGTTACGTGTTGATTCAAGAAAAACTTATCCGATTGACATGTTGAGTTTTCCAACCCATAGACCATGTTATAATTTTATAACAAAATCCTTCTTAGTTCCGCATCAGAGCCTATATAATTAATTGACAACTAATATAAATGTCTAAAAAAGAAGTGTTTTTGTTTATAATTTTTTTGCAGATAAAAATGAAACGTGTTTGTGTTTTGCTACCACTGGTCTTTGTTAGTGTTTTAGCAGGTCGCCCAAGTAATTTTTATTCAACTTATTTTCACACGAGGTAATTAATATTTAATGACTAACTTTCCTACAGTGTCCTATGGGCAAAAGGTCTATACCACAAGTCAGTAATTTTTTTTTATCATACAAATTTTAACTAAATGTTTTAATATTTATATATACTTATTTTAAATAATTTATTACAGACATAATAATCGAGAGTGCAGAACGTAAGATGTATTTTAAATTAATATACTAACACGTAATGTTTATTGTTTTGTCAAGTTTTCCTGAATATCAGACGATTTATAAATTAATAATTATAGCTTCTAAATTCTGTTCAGATGAAGAGTGCACAAAATGTATAGTTTCAGTGTTTTGATCACTTTGTAAATACTTTATGTAGCATTTTCTGTAATTTACTTAAAGCACGCTTAGCTATAGAAATTGATAATATTTAGCTTATCTAGGGTGAAAAATGTTAAATTGTCAACAATTAAAACATGTTGTAACTTATTTTGTCTCAATCAATTTAATTTGTTACAGATGTGTTTCCCCAAGTACTTAGAAAAATTGTTCGTGAAAATCAATCGATGGGTATTATCGATAACTATTATTATATAACACAAAGTTAATGAAGCTTAGAAAACAGTTTTTTGAAAGTGATACACAAACTTCAACATAGATTACTGTTGCATAGTTTTACCATTTTGATAATTTTCATAGGGATGTCAAATGCCCTGAGCGCCTCCCATAGCCTTTCCCTGTCTACGCTATCATAAGTCTGTTTATAGTCTACGAACACCATATGCAGGTCCTTTGCGTACTCAAAGTGCTTTTCCATTAGTTGTCTCACTACAAATATATGGTCTGTGGTTGATCTTCCTTTCCTGAATCCACTTTGGTATTCTCCTACGGCCTCTTCAGCATATCTCTCTAATCTTTTTGATATTATTAATGATAGGACCTCTTATCCTGTATTTAATAGAGTTATCCCCCTGTAGTTTTTTACTTTTCCTCGGTCTCCTTTTTTGAATATTGGGCAGATAAGTGTTTTATTCCAAATCTCTGGAAGCCTTTCTTCTTCCCAAATTTGTAGAATTACAAAATTAATAAAGCTTAGAAAACAGTTTTTTGAAAGTGATATATAAACTTCAACGAAGGTTTACTTGTACGCAAATTTATCAGTGATGCATCGTCGCTTAAGCGGCAACAACGAGTATCTCATTTTTTTTAGTCGAATTAAGTTGGTATCACTGTTCAAAATTTTGTGGGACATTTGCTTGTGGGCTCAGATTAACATGTAAAGACAATAAATGACGTACTATTCCAGTAATTAACAACATAGTTGTTATGTTATTGAATAATAGTTGAAATTGATTTTTTGCTATCCTGTAACTAATCCATTTTTTTATGTACATTTTAGAAGAACTAGTTATCATGTTTGTTGTACCGGGTAATAATATTTCTTAAAATGTATGCACGTATTTGCATATAGTTGTTTAATATTAACTACAAAATGTAATCGTTTTAATTTCAGAAAAGGCAAATATTGAAAACGAGTTGAAAAGTAATTATTACTCTTATATAGTTACTCTTTTATATTTATAGTGCTTTACATAGTCCATATGTGCATAATTTATATAAATTTACTAATCAAATAATAATTTCTTTCTTAAAAAATATGTCCATTAAAATGAATGACTTTTTTTAATAAAATTTAGAATACTTAGATAACGAAACTAATCTGCAAAATGAAATAACCGCCGCCCTATATCATGTAGGTAAGTATAATAATTTGTAAATAACCAATTTCAAAAATAATAGTTATTTATTTCTAAAAAACGATAAAAGTTTGATTTGAGCTCAATATCATGAAGTTATATTATTTTTTTATTAAAAGTTTTGATAATTGTTTGAAAAATAATTATTCCAATGCTTAATTATTATTATTTTTAATAATAAGTCTACATAAACTCAGTTGAAATATTTTGAAAATTTTTCTTGTTTCTTGAAAAATGTTTGACTAAACAACCGTTCTAGCTTTATGAGTTTTTACCGTCAATCGGGTCTTACATACACCCTCATTTTTTAGATTTTTTATCAAAATAATGTTTTTATTCGGATGACATTGTTATTCGAATAAAAAATGCCCACTCTGCATATGCCGTCTAGTATCAGATAGTAAATTATATTAAAAATCGACATTATTTTCTTGTTGTTATCCGTTGATGTTCTACTTTTTAAAAATGTGTCAACATTTGTCATTAAATTATGGCGATCATTTTTTAATATTTATTATTTATGCCGATTTTATTATTCGGAGTTTTTTTTTTTATAGCTGAACTCATGCTATTTGTTTTTTATAGATAATTCTGCAACGAGCTCCGAGGGTAATCCACTATTAGGTAGTTATTATAATCATTAAAAAATATAAAAAGAAAGCTCAGAAAACACAGTATATAAAAAAATTGCAGCATTGATATAACTCTATGCAAATTTACCAGCGATACACCGTCGCTTTATAGGTATAATATTTTGTCGTCTAGACGGTTATTTGTTATTTTTGCAGTTGATCCACCTATCTCTAACCTCATTACACTTGGACAAACGAGAAGAGATCTGACTTTAAACGTTCCAGAGTTTTTAATCGATACTATAGGATTAAGTAAATATTATATCGAATTGACAATTGTAATAGTTTAATCTATATTAATATTATATATATCAGTCATATTCTAGAAAAAATGGTTCGGATGAATTTAAAAGTTTTCAGCACTTTAACTGACATAAAAATAATTTTTTTTTTATTGTCTAAAGGCTTCGCCTTGTCGCTTCAACCAATCTTCTCTTTTATCAGCTATTCTTTTCATTTCGTCAAAACTTGCTAGAGCTAATAGCTTCTTCATATTCCCCAGATTTGTTTCTCTGGGTTCATGATTAGTACTTTTTATATTACTAGAAGAGCGTGTCACGGTTGTGTGTTGGGAATAGTAATGCAGTGGTTTCCCCTTGCCTTCTGCATTGCAGTAGCACCTCTTATTTCTATGAGGTGCTATTCAAATATAGATAAATCTATACTTGATACAAACAACGCTGCTGCCCATTGTTTGGTCAATTTTAATCGCCTTTTACGACTGATATGGACTACTGCAGGTGTATTCTAACCCCCCCCCCCCCGCAGGGGAATAAAATTAATAATATCTTAATTTTTTCGCAACATTTTTACTGTTAACTCAAAGAACACTACTTTATTCACATGCAATGTAATTCGGTTTAATTGTTTAATTTAGTTCTTGTTCTTTAATTTTCTTGAACATAAGGTAAAACTCCGGTTTCCATTGAAAATAAGAGGCTTTGTTTTTAATAAAATGAATTATGAAACAAACCATGGTTCGCTTTTTTTAAGTGTATTTTATACAATTTTGATGAATAATATTATTATGATATGAGAGATATGATACAAAGAGTGTATTTCCATTTTATCTGCATTTTAAAAAGTTATTGACTGAGGTATGTGTGTACTAGTTATGTCTGTAGTTGTGTTTTGCACATAAAATAAATGTAATAACTAGAAAGTTAAGTTTGGCAAATTTTTAAATAAACCTTTTTTATATTATTTTAAGATCGAACGCATGATGAAGATTACAAAAATAAACACATGATGTGTCGTTTAAAAGGATTGGTTAAAAGTATGGCTGAGCCATTTAATTATATAATAGAATATGCATTAGGGGAAACCTTGAAATCAACGGGTCGTGTAATTTGTAATCTAACTACTATACATAACGATGTTGTGTGGGATTTAGTATGATAGATAACTGCATAAGTAGTCGTTAATAGAAAGTATAAAATAAAATTCATTAATAGTAAAAAGTATTCAAAATTGCTTCTCAGTTATTATAATTTAGACCAGGAATTTAAGAGATAATTCATTACAAAAAATACAGCACTATTGTTATTCTATTAAAATAATTATTCCAAACCGCACTTTCCTCCTAAATTTTTAAATGTAATGTGTTTTTTTTTTTTAATAAACAGTTTTGCTTATGGTTATAATCATATTAGTTGTTTTTTACCTATATATCTACAGGTTGTATTCGAAGTGTTCATGAAAATAGCATTTACAGGCATAGTCTGTTTACACTGATTGTCAAAAAATAATAGGTATTATGTATTAGGTTGTGAAAGAAAAAAAACACTGTTTTAAAATATAAAGTATCCGGTACTTGTATGATTAAATCTTGTTCGGTAGTATTATTAACGTTTATTTTTTAGTAATATCATCACTTTCAGTCTTAATTCACTCTAATTAATTTTGACCTATAACCTTGCAACGCCACACTGTACTGAATAACAACAACAATACTGAATACATCATTGTCTTTTATATGACAATAATTAATTATTAAATGTCGAATTGCTCTTTAAGAACTTGGTCGACTACAATATAAAGTAGGTACTCTATATAATGCAGTACCTACTTATCCTCCTTATTATCTTCTCATTTATCAGTCAGAATAATGTTATATCTATAAATTAACTGTGCTGGTTTGAGAATGATTTTTTTTTACACAACTTATAGGCATATGTTAGACCTATCTTTACTCTAATTTTCAGTTCTTAAAACTTACAATTGCGCCTTAAAGTAGGTAGGTATAATAGTATTAGGTTGTGAAATAAAAAAATTCTGGTTTAAAATATAAAGTATCCGGTACTTGTATGATTAAATCTTGTTCGGTAGTACTATTAACGTTTATTTTAAAGTAATACCATCACTTTCAGTCTAAATAATTCATTTTGACCTGTGACTTGCAACACCCCACTGTACTACATAACAATAACAATACATCACTGTATTTTTTATGACAATAATTAATAATTAAACGTCATAATGCACATCAAATAAAAATAGTGTACTTATTAAGAAACTCTTAAAAAACTTGGGCTACTACAATATAAAGTATTCCATAATGCTGTACACTAAATAATCAGTATGGGGACGCACAGTGGGACAGATGGCCGATCTAGGTAGAAAAAATGTGAAACTTATCCCATCTTATCAGAAATTTCACGCTGATTTATCATTTTGATACATCTGACATAAGGTTTTGGTAACAACAGTTATCAAATTATGCGCTCATCTAAATTTTATCTATCATATTTTAAGAGATATGCCATTGACCTGTATTACCACTGACTGATATTCCCCCATTCGTAATTTTAAATTTAAAAGAGTGTACATTTTTGGGTGGTTTTCTCAATTTTGAAGGGGGAGGGTTAAATTTTTAATTTTTCGGTCCAATAAAGTACCAACTTATAGGCATATGTTAGACCTATCTTGTTGTTAAACCTGTGTAATAGTCTTCAAAATCTACGTATTGACTAGAATGTTTTTGTTTTACTCAACTTATAGGCATATGTTATATCTTCACTCTAATTTTCAGTTCTTAAAACTTACAATTGTGCCTAAAAAAAACCTCATTTTATAACCAATATAGCTTCTAGCTGCCGCATCGCAGCTAATATCGAACCTACCCGAAAGGAGTTGGTCCTTTTCCGGAATAACTGTAATAAACAACAACGTCAGCAGATGTCAAAATGAACAAATAAAAAAAAAATCAGTCATGTTCTGTACATACAATTTTCGAAAATAATACCTATTGTTGAAAATTACCAAAAAAAAAAAACCTCCAACGTACCCTAATTTCGCAACCATGTTTTTTTATATCAAAATGTTTTTAGCGTAGCGCTATTACATATTTTTCGAAAAAATAATACTCATTTATTCGAAAGAAAAAAAAATACACCTAAGTAATTATTAGTCGATTTTTTCTGTTAAAACAAAATTTTTGTAGACAATGGATCTATCCTGCATAATATTATAACACCCTGATACTAGTTTTGTTGTCACATTTATTATTATTATTATGGCTCGAACTTTGTGTAATATAATGTAAATAATTATAATTAGCTATATTTTATTTGCAAGTAGGTATAAAAATAATATTACAGTTGAAAAGGTTTATTATTATTGTAACAAATTGGGAACCTAATGGTCGCGGGGACTTATGACCGGTGACCCGTGTTATCGCCGGTCTTATCTACTAAATAACGTTTAGTTTTGACGGGTGACGAGCACATTTTGCATTGTATTCCTTGTTATAGTTGTTAAGCTCACAGAAGTTGTTTTGTGTTTGAAATATATCCTTTTTCGAAATCACCGTCTTGTGTTTCATAATAATTCATGACTTTCTATTACTGCGTCGCTCGCGATTGACACTTAGAAACCACTTGGAGTTAAATACAATTTTTTACAGATAAAAACATGTCCACGTTCAAAGGTAAGTCGTTCTCAAGAATAAATAACAATTTTAAAGTACTAGTTTCATCACCTATGTCGTCTTGTCGTTTTCAGTGAAAGTAAAATGGGGAAAGGAAGTTTACACCGACGTGGAAGTAAATACGGAAGAACCGCCGCTCGTGTTCAAGGCGCAGTTGTTTGCGTTGACGGGTGTGAATCCGGTACGTCAAAAAGTAATGATGAAAGGTGGAGTTTTGAAAGACGATTCGTGGGGAAACATACAAATAGTAGAAGGTCAGACAATATTGATGATGGGCAGTAAGGACGAGGACGTTCCAGTCGAGCCCACTGTCAAACCAATGTTTGTCGAAGACATGACTGAAACACAATTGGCAACTGTTGTAAGTTCCCTGATTTCCGTTAACGTTATTAAATAATTGAAATGTATTAAAACGATTATTAAACCGATTTAGACTAACATGCCTGCTGGTCTGGCAAACCTGGGCAATACTTGCTATTTAAATGCTACTGTCCAATGTCTAAAGACTGTTCCCGAATTAAGACTTGCCTTGAAAGAATTCAATACGACTCGTGAGTAATTTTTATGGCCACGATTTTATTGTTATTTTTTGAATAATTGTTATTGTACCTCTTACAGCGAATACGTCTATATCAAACTTTGCATTTCCGGAAAAAATTACATTGGCGTTAAGCGACTTGTATCGAGCCATGGAGACAAATCAAACAATTCCTCCCCTTGTCTTGTTACAAATGTTACATCAAGCGTTCCCGAGGTTTGCCGACAAGGTGGAAGGGCACTACATGCAACAGGTAAAATTGTATTATAATAATAATTAAAAATTCATGTTTTAACGTCAAAAACTTTATGTAATAAGGACGCCAACGAATGTTGGGTAGAACTCGTACGTATGCTACAGCAAAAATTGCCAGCTCTGAAGAACAAGAATAATGACAAACAAACTACTAGTTACAAGTGAGCGTAATAATTGCAGTCTTGAAATGTACATAAACTTACGGCTTGTTATAATTGTTCATCTTTTATTTAGATCTATGATTGATCAATTTTTCGGAGGCACGTTCAGTGTCGAATGGAAATGTACAGAAAGCGATACAGAAGACATAAGCAAAACAAGCGAGTCATTTCTACAACTAAGTTGCTTCATATCTCAAGATGTTAAATATATGCATTCGGGTTTAAAAAATGTATTCATATTTGACTGATGACTTTTCTTGAGTAGATTTAAATCAATTTTTATAATTTTCTAGAGAATGCAAGAGCATATAACAAAACATTCACCAGTCCTCGGTAAAGACGCTGTGTACACAAAAACGGTGAGAACATAAGTTTATTTGGTTTTTCTTTATAAAATTGTTAGATAGAAAATTTTACATTTGTTTTCTCGTAGTCAAAAGTCAACAGACTACCAGCGTATCTTACTATTCAGTTTGTGCGATTCTTTTACAAAGAAAAGGACCGTATCAATGCCAAGATATTGAAAGATATTAAATTTCCTATTGATTTTGATGCGTTTGAGTTATGTACACCTGAATTGCAAGAAAAATTGGTACCCGTCCGAAGTAAATTCAAGGTAAATCAATTTTACAACAGCTTCATTAGATGTATTTTTAAAATGACCAGCTGTTAAGGGCAGCTTCTTTCCCCTTTTCAATTAAGCTAATTAAGTTATTTAATGTCTGGTTTTGATGCAGGAACTCGAAGACAAAATGGCCGTCGACGGAGTGAAACCGAACCCGAGAAAAATGGGCGATTCGAAAGAAGTAGAAATACCCACAGCTCCTTATTGGTTTGAAGACGGTAAATAATTTTTTGTTAATTGTAGTTTTGTTGTTTATTTTTACGCAGTTAAATTTTTTCTTTGATAGATTACGGTTCAAACAATTCCGGTTATTACACTCTTCAGGCGGTGTTGACTCACAAAGGCAGATCTAGCTCTAGCGGCCATTACGTTGGTTGGGTTAGACAGTCACCCATGTCTGAAAAATGGATTAAATGTGATGATGACACCGTCACCCCAATCACTACAGATGAAATACTAAAATTGTCTGGAGGAGGTAAACATTTTAGTATTAATTCATGATAATTGATCGCGGTAGTTTAGTTGTAAGGACATTCTACGACTACCTATCTGAATATGATCGTTTATTGTCTATTACTAATAACAATTTATTTGGCAGGTGATTGGCATTGTGCTTACGTTCTTCTTTATGGACCAAAACTTCTACCGTTAGAAACCAAATCAGAGTCTTAGTTAAAACGACTGTTGGAACCAAAAAAACACCATGGCAAATAAAAAAAAAATTATCATTTTGTTTTATTAGTTTTCTTGTGTAAAAAAAAATGATAATAAAAAAGTTTTTCAGCTATTGAAATTATTACAAATCAATTGATAACATTTAAAATACTACTATTGTTGAATCATAGGATATGTTTAAATTGATAAATTTTACTATAATATTTGTGTTGTAAATTATCATCGTAAACTCTGTTAATTATTGATAAAGATATTCTCTGCAATTAAGTTGTTAGTAAGCATAAAAAAAAAACATGTATGAATTAAATTAATAAAATAAAGTATTTTCCACTTTTATTTACAAACGAAGACCCAATTATTGAATCATAAATTCTTTATTGTACTTCCTTAAAATTGAATTTCTAATAAGTTACCCATAGGATTTCAATTCGGAGAAGATATCTTGCATCTGAAAAAAGAAATGAAACATTTTAGGAAAATAAATTAAAAAAACACAAGTCAGATCAATCAAATAACAAATTCGTCATTTAAAATAATTGTAACATTAGAATTGAATTTTTCGTAAAAAAAATAAAATAATATTATTATTATTATTATTTATAATCAATGCTAACTGATCTCAAATGTATTAGAAAATAAAAGGAAGTATGCACATAATAAAAGCCAAACTTTAGCATTATTTAAAATATTAATGCAATTTTACTTTCATTTGAACAAAACTACAAAAAATAATAAAGTATATTTAAAAAATAACAGGTTATTTTAAACAGTAAAATAAACAAGTACTTTAAATAAGAAAAAATTTACTTAATACAGTAAATAAAAAAATAAGCTGCCCAGGATTGAGTAAAACTATATGGCTGGTAGAATAATAATTAGTTATCTTTAGAAAAATTGTATTTGCTAGCGGGTACCTTTTTTTATGTGCATGTAGAGATTCTTGTCCACTGTCTTCCTCGCTGGAATTACCCTCGCTAGAACTGCTAGAACTACTCGAGCTACTTGAACAGCTAGAGCTATCCGAAGCGAGGCCAGTGTGGTTTTTTAAATCAACAGCATCGGCCACAGCTGCAAGCTCGGGTTCTTTGTTTTTTAATACCCTGTACCATTTGCGGGACAATTTAGGCCTTCCTCGTACTGTTTTATGCCAAACTACTGGAAAATTAGTACGACTACAAAAATTTTGGGTTACCGCAATGGTGGTGTCTAAGTTAAGTACCACATGCCACCATCCTCCAGGTACATAAACTGTTTCCCCGGGACATTGTAGTATTTCTATCTATTAATCGACATACGATTTGAATTAGATCAAAGTATAAATGACATTTAACTTTAACATGTACACCGAGTACAAATTGATCATATAAACTTACTGGTGCACAGTCTTTTGGCCAAGTCGGGAGTTGCGTGCGAGGATATATAATTTTAAACCAAGTGATAGCTTCATCACGTTGTTTACCGCCTTCTGCGGAAGTAACTTTAAGTAATTCTTTTGGCGTATGAGTAGGAAATAAACACCACCTAAAAGAAAAAAAATTAAATAAATATTACATAATGTCTTAAGATAATTTTTTTATTATTATTATTAAACCTTTTATGTCCACTAATTAGTGAATTCCATGCACTCGTCCCCAAAGGATCTATATGAACACCCGTTCCAGATCGAGACGGGCCCATAACAAACCAACGATAAGGAGGTCTCTTCTTTTCGCCAGCATACTTGAATAGGTCATCTTGAAAGTAAATAGGTACATCGTAATCTTCTAATAATTTTTTTCTTCGGTGGTGCTGTAAATAAAAAGAAGACAAATTAGTCTTGTTTATAAAAATAAATAATACATAAAAGCAATTAATATGTAATAAATTATAAAATATTATACTGGATGATGCACAACTAAGGACCAGTCATATTTCATAAAATTCAGTTATATATTAAAAATAAAGCTATGTAATAGTACTAGTAGTGCATCTATGAATAATATTAAATATTTTTTTTTTCAAACCCTTATAACTAATTTTGATTTTCAGGCGGTAACATACAAGTTTTATGTTATAATAAGACTCATAGCTAGTGAGTCAACCTGTATACAATAATTTTAGAATAGTTAATACTTAAACAACTTATAAAATGTCAACTTACATCACCAAAGCTACTATCAAATATATACAATGGACTATCGTCCTTGTTATTGTTCATATAATGAACGAAATACTTCATTTTCATTTTGACGCTGTACCCTTGATTATCCTCTCCGCATTTAAACCTTTGGTTACGGTATTTTTTGCCTAGTCTCTGAAATAAAAAACAATGACAAGTGTTTAAATAAAACTAGCATATTATTAACAAATAAACAAAGCTAATGTCGAAGTACCTCTAATGTCCATTTATGAGTTGCTCTCCAACTGTTTTGAAGTCCTCTAACTACGACTGGTTTGTACGGTCGTTCATATTTCTCAACAAACACGTCGGGGCTAACATTTTCCACGTTTATACGTTCAACATTATCGTTCACTATGGTAAACGGTTTAAAATTGTCTGCATACTTGAAAGTGTGCCATGCGTCTTTATCGCTCAATTCTATATCCAGGATATGAAACAATGTCAAGCAATAGTACATAATAAATTTTACTATGATAGACGGGCAACTATCCGGTTGGACAGATATTAAAACAATGTTTCTAGATAAACTTAAGGAAAAAATAGAGATTTTACGTAACTAGTGAGATCTATTTGTTTCAAATATGTTTCAAAGAGAATAACTCGGTTAAAAAAAAATGTGTTTTAAACATATAAAATGACTGTCCAATTGAGGAATACTTATTTATTTAAAGAAATTTTTGTTTTTTTAGTTAAGAATAAAATGTAAATTTTTCCTGAACCTTTAATAAACACAAATATGAATATAATATAATATGATAAATATTGAGATATAACATTATTAATACATTTAAAATTATTCATTAATCTTTTAATTAGCATACCAATTATTTTAATTACCTACTTATAATTAAATATAATTATTTATAACTAATAAAACATAATTTAAAAAATTAAATAACCAGGCACTATCTGAACATTACCAGTATATGGAGAGTGGGATCTAGATACCAGCAAAATCTGGATTTTACCTCGCCCTAAACATATTCTTTTGAATCTCTATTGTATTAAGTTTTATGTAATAAATAATTTTAACAAATTATATTACTAATAAAGCAAAATGACCCCTCAAAATGGTAAAATAATATATTTTTGTATGAATTCACTAGAAAATCACAGGGGATGAAGACAATAAACATTTATTATCACTTTTGATTGATTGTTTTTTCTGCATAACGACATTAAATTTATGTTTTATAATAACCCATCTAATATTGTTTTTAAGTATGATTAATTAGCATCATTTGACATTTTTTAATTTCTGGTAAAAGATTGCATTTTTTTTTTTGACATTGAATAAATTTATTACTATGTATTAAAAATGAATTACCAATATTTATTAAAAGATACGACCTTTGAAAACTGTCAATATCGAGTTCTGTTTAACATACATAAAATTTACACACAGGTAGATGAAGTGCACATTTTTAGAATAATATTACATAGAGAACTGTGTGTAATTATCAGACATCTTACCGGGTCTCGCTTTATTTTTAGCTTCTTGTATCCTTCGCTTAGTCCTGGACTCTGAACTATTCGACGAATCGCTCATTGTGGATTTTCGTTACTTACAACTCAAAACGATTTAACGTCAACTTCCTTAAAACTAACGACGTTATATATATCATAGAATAACGTAGGTATTAATACTGTTTGTCACGTTTAACTACCAGAGTTTTCAAGAGTACCGTGCAGATCATAATTGATAATAATTTAAGTAGGCTTTACATCCGTACATAATAAATTTCCAGGTTTTAAAAATATCGATGTTCAATTCTCAAACGAGTACCTCACAAGTCACAACGCGTTAATAAAAAAACACCGCAGTACTATTGTCTATATTTACATATTTAGTAACTAGTAGGCCCTGCCGTTTTGCTCTTGATGTTGATAGTTAATACTATTAACTTAACAGTAATATTATTATACCTTTTGAAGATACTTTGAGTAAAGTCCTAACCTAAAAAACTTTGTTAACGTAACCGAGGGGGTTTAACCGTCTTTCGGTGTTCAACAGCAGCTGTCCGAAACATGCTGATAACAAAATTTGATAACAGTTAGTCGAGATAAGTGATAAATATTATTTTGGTCAGCAACAACAACAACAACGTTTGAATTTTGAAATTAAAAATTCGGTGTTGGCGCGTTCATCAAATTGTGTTTGCCAATCAAAAATATCTGGTTATGTCTGATGAGGAAGAGGAACGTTTCGAATTAGAACAACGTTTGTTGAATAGCGATTTCAATCAAATTCCACATACGCCAAGTGCTTGGGAACAAGATATTTACGACGTCGACGAGGATCCGGATCCACGCGGTAACACATTCAGCAGAATAGGTCTCAACAATTTGCTCGACCATCCGAGATGGTTCATCTCCAATTAATTTTACGCCGATTGTTTACTTTTTTGATTTATTAATAATAAACACCAAGACCTAAAAAACTTTATCTAAAAATTTAATCATACAATCATTTTAAGTATAAGTAGGTACAACAAATTAACTTAAGATCGTCCTTAATTCATAGTTGCCAACCAGGATGGGACGAACTGGTGTAAAATAACGGCCTAGTCGTTTATAAGATTTGGCCCGCTAAATTATTAATATATGAAACCATTAGTGATTTGACACTTGTGTCAAACCGCCATTGCCTGGTTGGTAATTGTAAAAGCACATCCATGCTAAAATAATTGGCTGGTGGCCCTCAAAAGTTTTTAAAATAAAATATTTTTATGCTGATCACTTATGGTTACAATTTTTTATTTGTCTAATTAGAAATTAGACTTATATTATAGAAAATAATCAATGCTCTGATTTCAAGTCATATTGGTTTGTTTAGATTGGTTTGAGTTTTAGCATTAAGGTAACAAATGCTTTGTTACTTAAACTAGCAATCTGTCAAAAAATCAAATTATAAAATTCTGAAAATTATTTATGTTTTATAATATATTACATTCTACATACAGTTTACAAAATAAAAATTACAAAATATCAATTTTTTTAACTCAATTTTAATAGAAACAAACTTTAAAAACCTACATTTTTCAATCTAGAGTAAGAACACAATTTAAACTTATAGGAAAATTTTAAACAAAAGTACACATTAAAAAAACAATTTTGACATGCTTGTTTATTTTTGAGTAATAAGTTTTACGCCATTGAAAAAATATTAGCCATATTTGCAAAAATTTATATCTCAATTACAACGAGTTGATTAGTAAGTGTAAAAAAAAATGATAAGTAAAATCAAATGAGGTACGATTTGGTGCAAGACAACCCATATGTATGTGTTACATTTTTAATTATTTATACAGTTTATACTTAACTAAGCTCTTCTTTCAGTTTGAAAGAAGAGCCATCAATGACCACTTTATTTATGAGCTGACAATAAATCAAACATTTTATTAATAATAAAAATAAAATTGTTTTTACCACCAACAGGTACTCCAGAAAAGGAAATTTTGTGGGCAGCCGAACAAGGCGATTTAATTTTAGTCAAGTCGTTGATATCTAAACAAAAAAACTTGATAAATGTCCAGGATACTGACGGGTACACTCCATTACATCGAGCAAGTTACAGTAATCATTTGCCTATAGTCGAGGTAATTATTTTTGGGACGATTCATTAGTGGACATTGTTTCGTACATTGTGTTTGTCATATGTTATCGATTGTACAAAACATTATTTATTTAGTTACTGTTGAGAAATGGAGCAAATCCCAATGCACGTACAACAGATCAATGGACACCGTTGCATTCGGCTTGTAAATGGAACAATGTAAAATGTGTATCTAAATTGATTGAAGCCGGATCAGATATTAATGCAGTTACAAGTGGTGGTAATTTCATAATATAAATAGTGTAATAATAATATAATAATACAAAGATATTCAGTCACTTTTTGCATTTTCTTTAAGGTATATCACCATTACATCTTGTCGCAGAATTGGCAGATTCACATGCACTTCTGGAACTGTTATTGAGTCAACCTAATATTCAGTCAGATTTAAATGTGCACAACAGTACAGCAGACAAACCGAGTGACATTACAAGCCGAAAAAGTGCAAACGCAAGACTTTTCGAATACTGTGAACCGTGTTTTAACTGTTTATAAATGTATTGCTATTGTTTATTCCGACCAAAGGCTAATGGAATGTCCACATGATGTAATTAAAACTTTTTTACTAGGATGTGTGTTTATCGAGTTCACAGATTGCTTGTGGGAAATATCGGTCGGTTGCAATTTTTCTAAGACGCGTGCGCTTACGAAATCCCAGCTCCATAAATGTCCACACGTTGAACCGCTTAATATTATACTGTCGTTATGAAATACACAATTTTCTATGAAATAATCGCCAACTGTATGTCCGGTATACCTGAAAAAATATTGATATAAATTATTATTTATAATATTATCCTAAAAAAGTATGTAATTGTTTATACTCGTTTAATAATTCTCCTTTTTGTCTATCCATCAGTTTCAAAGTATTGTCAGTGCAACTGACCAACGTACACATATTGTCTTGCGTTGAACTAATACACGAGATCGGCTCTGGAAAATATATAAAATGTAAAAATTTCCATTCAAGTACATTTTAAGTCCATAAAAAAAAAACCAACAGAAGTCTAAATCTTTTTTTAGTCCTACGGCTAAATGACTATGCTTATTAAACAACAATCTTGATTGAGAAATTTATATTTTGTAAAAAATATTTTCAAAAAACAAAACTGCAAAAATACTATTTTTTTGAAAATTTAAGTTTCGTACATTAAATTTATCATTCTATACATGTTTAGTAAATACAAATATTATAAAATAGCACAATTAAATATCAACAAGTAACAATATACATTTTTTATACGAATCATTGTATTTGTAATAATTTTTTTAGTTCTAAGTAAAAAAAAAAATTTTGAAAGATATGTACAAAGTTTAGAGCCTTACTATTGACCTTTAGTCTAATTTTTAGACCTTAAGTTGAGTTAACACATACTACTTTATTTATGCCAACAAATACACACTTAAACATATTTTAATGTAAATTATTTTTGAAAGCATATTGATTACAAGGAATTGGAGGGCTTAGAGCCACAATCAAACTCACAATTTTAATGATGTTCAGGACAATCGAATGAAAATTCTTTATTCCATTTATTATAATGGGTATAATATATTTTAGCTTTGTTGCATAGCAGATTTAAGATTTAACGTGTATTTTGTATGTTATTGTACCAATTATTTATTCAATTTAAAGTTGAATAATCCGATAAAATTATTATATTTATTTTTTCAGAGTTTCTTGTGAGTGATAGTATTACTTGTTATCATAATTATTCTCACTGACTAGTGACCACCCGTACAACACAATTTAACATCTCAACTTAGTTGCTGCACAGTTAAGTTAAAACATTTGAACGAAAATAGTACTTACTTCCGATATAATCGGCATCTATATTTCCCATCCTTATATCATAAGTTCGTATAAAGCAATCTAAAGAACCCGTCAGAATTTGATGGCCAATTACTAAAACTTTAGTGATACTGTCTTTAGCTTCTTTTAAAACCTTAAAATATATTTCATTAAAATTTAAACGTACAATAATTAAACAAGCATTAAGCAATAAAATATTAATACATTTAAAAAAATATCTAAATACCTGAATAGGACTATTGCTACGACTTCTTGTGTCCCAACAGCACACGGTATTATCGTTAGATCCAGATACTATCACCGAAGAATCTTCATTGTACTTAACGCAGTTGACCGTAGCAGCATGTTGCCTCAATCTTCTTTTAACTCGTCCGTCTGACACATCCCACAATACAACCGATTTATCTGCTCCACATGATGCTAATTCGCTAAGTTAATACATTTGCTGTTATAGTCATGGCGCGTCTTGTCATTTTTAGTCGATAATTAATGTATTACCTGCTGTCGCACGAACCACAAACATCCATTACACAATCTCCATGGCCAGCATACGACTTTAAACATAATTCTTTATAAGGATTCCATAGCTTGATTTTTTTGTCGCTGCCACATGTTAAACAATACTCGCCGTCCACTAAATCAAAATTAACATAAAAAATAAACAATGCGTAATGTGTACAATTCAAATTATAGTTGTGAAGTTGTAATATCCATATGTCAAAACCAAAAATTATAAAACCTTATTGAAATAATTTCGCTATACTTTGAATAGCTTCTTCTTACACGTTATTCCCCATTAAAATTGGGATGAAGGAGGAGGAGTCGCTTATGTATAACTATTATACTAGTTTATTAAGATTAAATGTAATTGTTGGCCGTAAAAATGTTCTAGACCTTCGCATTTGACATGCTCAAAACAATTTCCTATGTCTTATCCACCATGTCACATTTTTCCTGTTATGGTAAACTCATACAATATGTTAATTTACCTAGCACAAGTTACATGAAATATTACATTACTTACCGTTAAATCTAACGGCGCGAATAGCTCCTTGATCACACTTGATAGTTTTTACACATTTGAGATCCATTACTTTTGAAATGAGAATTAATAAGTAATAACTGCAATTTCAAATCGAGGGAAATGTATGTTCGTTGCATTTGATATTCGTAGCTATTGTATGATAAGGCAATTTCGTAGTAATATTATATCGTTGTAAAAAACATTCGAAGCAATTGTAGCAACCCCTCTTATGAGTGTACAAACGCCGACAGCTGCTGTTGTGGAGGTAAATTACCGTTTCATCCATGAACGAATGCGCACGAAATTGGCGGAAATATTTTCAAATGTTTCTTAAAACGGATTGAAATATTATGTGGATAACGATTTAGATGTGATGAGAATTTTGCATAGTACTTTAACTTTAAATCAATAGCTATTTAACGGCTAAATACCGAACTACTTCAGTCTTAATAAAGCCAAGTCTAGTATAATACTATCATTATTGCACTCCGTCAAGTTTTGCTCTCTTAATACAATATTATATTTTTCAATATTTTGAATTCTTACTCATTTCATTTCTTCTTACTTAAATATGTATATATATATATATATATTTACAATGGAGAAAACGACAATTGCTATAATGATAAAGTTAGCGGTTTAAGCAGAACATTCCGATTTCTCAATACTTATGTCATCATACCAGAGAACGATAAAGCACAGATCGTTAAAGAAAAAGATATATTTAAAACTTTTTTTAATACAGAGAAGCGATATTCTACGGTTGAAGTCAAATTTCAAGTCGCACAATTGAAATTAAAGCTCCAAAATGAATCGCATGTAAAAAAAAAACTTGTTTAAAAACATCTAAAACAAAAAAGTAAAAAAGTGAACAAAGATAAAAAAAAAAATTTACTACAAGAATAATTTACCAATCTACTTGTTTACTTCTATAGCTGATTGATATCCAAATGTTAACCACCCCAAACTTGATAGGAACTATATCTTCAGTGAGTTTATTGTCTTCAATGGTTTAAATTTTATTAAGATGATAAATATTTACTCGACTAATATTGTTATACAGAAAAATTATTAATATACTAAAATGTTTTGTCATCAAATTACAAGACAAGTATGAACTGAAGCGAGAAACATTTGAATTTCCTAGCTACTATATTAGAGTTACTTTATTTCTTACTAAAATAACCTATATTGCTTTTAATAAATAACTACCTACATAAAAGTAAAATACTTTTTAGTATTAACTGTATAACCTATAGAACTATACAACCTAAATGTGTAATCATTCAAAGTTGACTTACTTATAATTTATAAATTGCTAAAATTGAATCATTATCTTGTCATTGGATTTTGTTTTCAAAATCTAAAGAAAAAAATAGTCATGTTATTTTGGTAGAAAAAATCTACATTTCACCATTCGTCAATCGACATATCTTTTAAGTGCAAAATAGATTTTTTTGTAAAATGCTTAAAAATATTTCAGTACTAATTGATAAAGAACCTTTTACAACAAAGTAAAAAATACATTTTAACAGTGCATATTTCTTACTATGTTCAATTTTTTACTTATTTTAATGTATAGCTTTGTGTTCCGTACAAGTAATAAAACAATATCATTTTAATAATAATATTGAATTATTAAGCTTACTATAAATAATTGTAGAGTTCTGCAGTTCGACATTTATAAAGCTCAACAAGTCTGTGTTAAAAAAAATATTAATTAAAGAATGCAATATTTTAAAAAACAACTATTTCAAGTGTAACTAAGACAATAAATATAAGTTTTATAACTTCCAAAATTGATTTTTTTTTTAATTTGGGATATTTCCTGCAGAATGCATTAAACATAACATATTAATTTATCAAAATTAAATTTCTGAACACTACAATAAAGATGAATTAAACAATTAAACAAATCAGTTCTTACAATAATGTCGCTTTTGATAGTGTAGTCTTAATCGTCCTGTAAAAAGTCTTAATTTTTCAAAACAATAAGGTGTTCGAAATCAAACCAATCTATAAACCACGAGGCACAATTTTCTGATATTTTTAAGTAATTTTAACCACCTAAATGACTAGAATACATAGAAAAAAATGTGTATGTTAATTATTCACTAAACAATTTACTTCAAAATAAGTTGATGCCTAAAAGTTATTGATGTGATAATTAATAATTTTTAACATGGAACTAAATTTTTAATAATTATCCAATATCTATGATTATTAGTGAGACAGGCCAATGGCCACACTATGATATTATCCTAACAATTGTGTAGAAAAATTACCTGTTAAAATTTTCGAGACATGCATCCCTATAATAAATATATACAGGGTGTAAAGTAACACATCATGTGACACATAATTTTGGGTTAGAATTTTATTCTCAATTCAGTGGTGTCCTTAGAATTATTTTAAATTAAACGATATGTGGCATGCCACATGTTGGTTTTAGTCACATGTGTCGACCACACAGTGGCCACCCTGTGGACGTATAATATGTGGCCAGATATCAAAAAATCAGGTTACATATCAATTCAACAAGATTTTTTCTCCCGATTTCAAATATGAAATTGTTTTTTTTTTCGTTAGACAATTTTTTAATGAGACGAGTTTTGTTTTAAATAATTTTAAAATTAAAATGAATACCATTTATCGTACCCATAAAGCATTGTGAATGTCCCATTTGAAGCTCGGTAGAATTTCACATTACATCCTGTATATTGAATCCCTATAGCTTAATGTAATGTATTTAATGTTATAATCATGATAATATAACGTACATATAGGTACATATAGGTCTATGAGAATTCGAGTCCGGCGCCATCATCTAAAAGGTCGACAGGGTTACAGACGGTAGAGGTGGAGAAGGCCGCAACAAAGTGGACTGAAAAATATGACGCGTCGTCTCAAGCTGAAGATGGGGTGCACCGCATGGGGGATAGGCAGGCTCGCTTCTTCCAGAGTATTAGCCTGACCTATACCCCGGCTCTCTATAACTACATAATAGAGAGGATGACGAGTGCCGATCGGTCGCCCCCATTGGAAGCTTGTACACCGGCGGCAGCGAACACAATAATAGCGGAAACTTCTACAATGGCGGCTGCTACAAAGAAGAAATTGATCCCGCCGACGAATAGAATGAAAGCTACACCGACGACGGCGGAAATATCGATATTGGCGCCACGAGCTGTTAATCAGCCGAAAAAAGTTTCTTTTGTTGAGTCGATAAACACCATCGTGAAATAACAATTCTGAAGAGACCGCCGCGCCGTGCACGAAACCGAATTATAGGCGATTGCATGCAGTCGTAGATGTTGCCCGAAACGGCAGCCACGTACACGAACAGGCTCCGTTGAGCTGGTCGACAATCTGAGCGAACATGGACAGGCCCGACGTATCGATGTAGTGCATGCCGGCCAAATCGAATATGACACACTGAGTTTCACACACTCCGCTACCGATTCCCGGGCTGAACACGAAGAACAGCGACACGACTACGCCGGCCAGCAGGCCCACGTCAATTTCTACCAATATGACCGTCAGGTACGTGACAATCCAGATGATGGCATCCATTTTCGACGTTTTCCATATGCGGCAAATGTCGAACACTTGCAGCAAGATGTCCTTGAGCGTCACCACGGTAATGCCGGCCAACACACACCTGGGAAGTGACTGGAACAGATAGCCAATCCACAGAACGACGGCCAACAGCAAACCGGCCGATATGATGCTGGCCATTTGGGTTTTGCCAATGATGCGGCGAACGGAAGACAAGAGGAAAACGAATCGAACACGTTGCCTACGCCCTGGGCCAACAACTCCTGGTTGGTGTCTATTGAATATTTTAGTTTTGCCGAAAACAGCAACGCCGCGGCGCCGTTGTTTACTATCATAACCAGGACAACAGTTGATGTTTGCCACATATGTATCCATTCTTCGACAACCTAACCGTCAATCGCTTTCAAAAGCGCATTAGTCTCAATCCTTCGTTTCGGTCGACCGCCAATTTTTATTTTTTTATTTATTCATATTTTTTAAATGTTATGTCGTTAAACTGACGGGTTAAACCGATTGGACCGACAGTAGTGTTAAACTGTAGACACATTTTGAAATTCAGGTCAACGCTTCTCGTGGTCTTAGCGCGGGTTCTCAGGTACGGAATGAAGCTTGACTATTACATACGCTTATCCCTGACCTACACAATATAGTGTTGCTCCCTTTACGATTGCTCACGAAATTCTCTTATCAGTCGGATGTATATACGGTTTTTTTTGGCTCCTCTATCCATCTCCGGGTAAATTTCACAAACTAACCGGTTAACAGATACCTTTTGAATAACGTCCACTACCGTCGGTACATAGCTATTGGAAATAATTTCAGCGAGGCAAAGACGAACACATCATCTTGACCTTCAATATCAATTACTGTAGGCCGTTTCAATTGCAGGTCAGATATTATTATTATTGCGTATGGCGTATTGACCGGGAGTGGCTATGGCTAACTTTATGCCAGTTCGGTCGCCGGGTGCATGGCATTTCAGCCATGCATTCGGGGTTGATAGTATGGGTCGCCGCTAAAAATCCCGGGTGGTCACCCATCCGGGATCAAGCAGCAACGGACACAGCTTAACCTCTAGTGCCACGCGGCATCTGAGGTGTCCACTGCGCCACACCTCGCGATATAGGTCAGATATAGGAGGTATCGTCGGACGTGGTTAATCGGTATAAGTGTTATTGTAACGAAGGTTCCTTTTTTTAGTTCCAATTATCAACGAGCCGCAAGGGACGTCAAGTTGCTGTGGCCGGATCGAAAACGCCGACTGAAATCATTATGTTACTAACGCGATTTGAAGTTGATTCGAAATTGAAAATAAATATCTATTGAAATTAACGTTGAAGTCGTATGAGGGAAAGGGAAGTATGGTTGATGTTGATGTCTCTTTGAAAATATTTCTCGCTAAATCGACATAATAGACATACTGCACGAAAGGGACGCTTTTCCTGGGAAACGTTTGGTTCTCTCTTGGCTATGCCGCGTTCCTTAAGCACATACTCATCTTATAGTAGTTTATAATATCTCCGTTCCTTAACCGTGACAGGCGACAGTGTGAGGGTGTGTATTCACCGCGAATATTGCTTTGACCGACCGAACCGTGTAAACACAATTCAAACGCAGATTAATAATTATTGGTTTTTGCGAAAGCCCCCTGACTTGCGTTTGACACCACCCAACCCTACGCGAATACCTATTATTATTAATTAAATATATACTAACAGTATGTCGACTGCGGGCTGTGTTGTTTAATTTTTTTACGGGTTTGTGGTAAAATATTTGTATATAGATTTGTTTTTTTTTTCCTAATAAAATAGTAATCTTTATATTTGATTGTCATTCCATTGTGATGTTATTTGATAAAATAATTATTATCTTTATTTGTATTTATTACATAAATTATTTCGATGTTCTTGTTATACTATTGCTACACTATTGTTAAGACGCGTTGTACTTAAATTTAAGTGTTTGTTCATTGTTAAAAATAATATTTCCCTCGACGCTTAACGCTCGATAGTCTCCGCAAGGGTAGAATGATCGAACCTTGTTGGCGAACATTAACAGTGGACTAGTCCATGAGCTGTATGAGGGTCGGCATATACTTTATTTAAACATCAGGTCGAACTCGCGGGGGGGGGGGGGCAATTGCGAGTATGTCGGCCAAGTCGTGAGAGCGAGCGACTGCGAAGAGCGGGTAAGCTCGGGTCTGCAGCGGAAGTTGTCTTGACTGTTCGCTTGACGGTCAGGTCGACAAGACGATTGCGCCTAATATCGACTAGAAGACCAAAGTAATGAAGGAAGTCCGCCCCGATGATGGCGCGAGTAACGTCAGCCATTTCGAATGTCCAGACGAGAGATTGCGATAGACCTAAGTCGAGGTTGAGGGTCTTCGAGCCTCTAGAAAAATGCGTCGGCAAATATCGATACAGCATATTAAATATTTAAACCATAAAAAAAAAATTAACAAATATTTAAAAAAATATAGCAATCTTATTGTTTACACCATTAAATTGTTTGAAATAATAATTTTGTTCGATTGTATAAAATTATTTTGTTCTTAAAAGTATTGATAAACTTGTTATTTCCCCCTAAAATATACATTTTTATTTTATTAAATATTTAACAATTATTTCTTTACGGCAGTTTGAACTTTCTTAATCATCTAAAATGTCCAAAATACATAATTATATTTATCAAGAACAGAATATCATGTATGTTTGGAATTCAATATGTGTAATTAAGTTACATAGCTTAACTTTTTGTTTTCAAGTCGGGGAGACGGTTATACAAATATATACTTAAAATATAAATAAAAACATTTGCTTTTTTAACTAAATAAAAGTAGGTAGACGTTATCTAATTGTCTCATGTGACGCTGCCACTGGTCAACTAAATCCAAAATATTATTGTAGATAAAATGTAGTTAAATTACAGTAATAACTTTCCGGGATGTCCGTTCTTTTTACAACAACCAACAACTACCTATATTAAATCACTAATATAAAAGCAGTTCAAACTAAGGTTAGACATAGTGTTACCATAGTAACCGAACACCCAAATGTTTTGTTCTTAAATTTCATCAATATACTTTGGTCTTTGTGTACAATAGACAAAAGACTTTTTCTCTATAATTATTGTAGGTACAAAACATACATTTTTCAACTATGACTAGTAAATACAGTTTTTATCATCTTCCGAACAAAGAAGCGACGGGATTGAACAGCAAGGAAATTCAGGAATACATTCTCAAGTGGTAAAGAAATATGAAGGGCACAGAGGAAAAACGGTAGTAGTCACATTATGAAATTTTTTTTTTTCAAATAGTTTTTTTCAAATTATGCCAATAATTTTTTTTTTATTTATGTCATTGGATTTTTTAAGTAAATAAATGTTTTATTAGAATAGCATTTAACGTGTTTTTTTTGTTATTATGTAAAAGGAAGAAGAATTCACGAACTTTGTTTTTGCTGTACTCTAAAATTTTCATAATGTGACTACTACCGTTTTTCCCCTGTGCCCTTCATATACATACTTGGCTTATGATATTATGATGTTGAATGTTAACATAATATAAGTAACTTATATGTATAGTAATATGCTTAACATTTATTTTTCGTAACAGGTCAATGAAAAAATGTTTGAGTATTGCTTATTATGCATTCAATCAAGAATTCTGTGAGGAAAATATTGACTTATTCATATTGGTAAGCCACAATAATACCTGATTTAGTTTTAAATTAAATCGTTTGTCTATTATTATTAAAATCACACATTTTTTTTTTGTGTTTTAGGATTTTTTTCAAGATTCTAACGTTGCAAAAACATTGCAGATAGATCCCGATACTTTTCTGGGCAAGTTTTTTCATTCATTGTATTATGTTTACTTATTAGTTAAGGCTTAGACAATAACATGATGAGTACTTTAGCTAGATTTAATTTTAACAAATGTTTGACGCTTGTGTTCCATACGACATACCTTATAGTATTTATATTCAATATTTTATAAAAGCTTTTGCAATTAGAGGGAGACCGATTTGTCATGTCATATTATCTAGTTATATATAAATAAAACAAATACACAGTACAAGAAATGTTATTATGGCATTGAAAATGCTTTACTTTTACTAGTAGTGAGTACTATATTATTAAGTCATTGGCACACAATATATTCAATCTAAATGTATCTACATCATTTCAATTATGTTGAGTACTAATTTGTCTGTATAAAATTATATAATAGATATATAGTAATATAATATGTTGACCTATATATACATCGTATAATATAGTATGAAAAATAATAATTTTCCATTGTAGAAGACAAAGTGGCAAAGGTGAAAATAGAAGAAGTCCCGTGTACAGTTACGTCGATGGCTTTTTTCGACAGGCTATTGGATTCGCAAAACAATGTGGTCTGCAACGGTCAGGACAAAGAAGACAATCATTTAATACGGCTATGTATGGAAGATTACAAACATGGAATATATATAACCAATAATTTGAAAATGGTATCTATAAATGTCGCTGATGACGCTGGATTCGACCTTAACGATAATATGTAAAACCTGACTGGGTTCATTGTTTTTCTTGTAGATGTTGTTGGACGACGAATGCGAAGAGTACGCATTGTACGACCGTGAAGAACGGGCAGAGTTCATCTTTAGGTTATTTAAACATTTAGTTGTCGGAGGCATCTGGTGTCAAGACGATACGATCATCGAACCGTATTTGGACGCGACCAAATCTATTTACAAAGACTTACTAGCGTAATGCATTACTGTTATACTTAAAAAAAAAAAACATACCACGTTATAATTACAAAATTTCTTATAGGGTTGAAAAAATGTCAGATTCTAAACAACCGTCAGTTGCGTCGAGAGTTTACAGAGTCGTTGCCCTTAATTCAAACAACACAGTAATATTTCCCAAGGCGCACACAGAGTCTGCAGATTATAGTTTTGCATACTTAACGGTATATCCCAAAACCCGGACGGTAGCGTTACTTGTTCACAATGTTGGAAGTACAATTTATGTTTAGAACAGACATTTGTTTGATTGGATACACGAAGAAAAATTATTAAAATATCAATTAACTATTATATTGACGCATTGTTCAAAGTAGACGGTATTACAGTTAAATGAAAAATTAATTATCGATCTTTGTTGTGTTAAATATATGAGTTTACAAATGTTGGCTTATTGTTATGTTTTATTGAAAATTTGCGACTAAAAAACGGACAAATTATTTTATTATTATTTGCACATAATTACTTCAACTATTTTGATTATCTCAGCTTTTTAATAGAAAAAATCTGAAAACATACATTGTACGGCTATTAAATTATTCAACTAAGATTTTCCCTTAAAATTTTTGTAAACCTATCATACGACCATCTCCAGATAATATCGTCAAATAGACATTTAAAAAATTTAACATCTTTCGCCCGGTCATGGGCCTAAGTGATGTAGTGCACCGGTCGGATGACCGCGTACAAAACACCGTAAACGACCAACGTTTGTAACGGAAAACTAGGAGTTGGTTTTGTTGAATGAAGTTGAACACTTAATGTAATGTATATAATAATTATAAGAAAAGTATGATAGAGTATTACAATAAGTAATCCAATAAGTTAGTAATATAATTAGTATTAGTATTTAATAAATGTGTAGTTAATGTAATAATAAAAACTGAGTAGTATAATCGATTGGTAATCTACTACTGACAGAACGACGTCGTCACTCTACCCGAATATAATAAAATAATGCAATTAAACAATGAAAGTATAATTAAACTATACTGAAGGGGACACCCATCGGTCACGTCTTAGTAACATGCATAGACGCAAGGAGGACATGCCCTTAAAGGAGGGACACATATGCATTACGTGGGTTTACTACAGTGATTTGGTTGGAGGCCTCGCAAAGAATATTGTGAGTTTCCTCCAGATTTAGGACTCTCCCGTTTTTCTGGTGGCGGCCTATACAAAACCTACATAGCTCACATTTCGTTTACTATCAAATAAAACATGTCGTCATGAAATACATCATACGCCCCAGTATTTGAAATCATATTTTTTATGCCCAAATGGTCCAGTATTTTCTTATGGGTTATCCCATTCCAAGTGACTAGGTATCATAGTTGTAAGTTGTACCCAAATTAAAATTAATATACGAATTTATAAATTCCGAGTTCAGGGTATCTTTCCCCGACATAAGACTATCATATCTATAATTCATTAAAAATAGTCTGATGCTTATTCGGTTTATCCTTAAGAATTTTAAAGTTTGTCCCAAATGGTTGTCCTCCGTCAGGCTTGGACATTTTTGACCTATACAAATACAATATTCGACATGACATGTTTTCTTTGTTTTGCAAGTTGGACTTTTTTGAGTTCAAAAAGTTCGTGATTACGGTTCATAGAATAACCAGAAGGGAAACTTAGGTCGAGACTGATAAGTGTCCGACATTTTGTTTTGCGGATTGCGTACAATTATCATGCTTTTTTCTGGAATTATCAGCTATAATCCATGTAATTTTTTTAAAGTTTCCCTTCCGGTTATTCTGTGAAATATGATATGCGTTCCATATTCGTTAAAAGTTATACAGTTACAAATTACAATATTTTGTAATATTGTAATTTTTTATCAAACTATCCACTGGAAATTGTCTATAACCACTAATTAATAATTATTAACAATAGTTGTTGTATGTTTATGAATTTTAATTATTCAAGTTGCTTAATTTAATTTATTTTTCAGTTTAATCATATTGTAAATCGCGATTAATCAACCATCTTATTATTTATTGTTGTGGCCATTTATTGTTTGCCGTTTGTTACTTATCTGTGTAAGAAATATATGAAAATATCAACTATAATAGTGTTATATCAGATCTACCAAACGATTCCATATCATAAACATCAAAATAATATATTTTGTTGCAAGGTACGTTTCTTCTTATAATAACTGGTAATCATCTAAATAAGTAATGATTTTCTTTTTTTAACCTTCTCAATTACTGAACTATTTATGCAGACATCAGACATGCACACTAGGCTAATTTCGTGCTAAACGTTTATTTTAAAGTCTTTTTTTAAATATTTTTTTATAAAAGATATAATTTTTTAAAATGGAAGTTTTCCTTCAAACCAAGAGGACCGAAATAATCCAAATTTAATTCATGTAGAGATTACATTTAAAGCCACATCCCAATGTGTATAGTATATACAAAACCAATTCCAAATTTGTTATTAAGTTCAATGTAAACTCATCTATGTGAACTAAAAGACTGATTTTTTATGTTGATGGTTTTACTTTTTCATGTTTTTTGCCATAAATTTAAATTTCTAAATACTTAATAGAAATCGGCCTTTTAGTTAGTCCATAGAGAAAGTTGTGAGCTCTCTATTGCAAAACAAAACTTTGATGTCTGTTCAATAGTAACTTCTACAACCTTTTTTTTTAATCAAATACTATGATTTTAACTGAGAAAAATAACTTGTAAAATTTAAGTACCTAACTAAAATAGCTTGATAGTTATTTCTTTACTCTTAAATAAGCTGCCATATTTAAAATAGCTCTTTTTTAAATTTTGATAAATAACTCACTAAGTTAATGTTATTATTTAGTGTACCTACCGAATGATGAACATATATCAGGCTAAGAAATTAAAACCTTATAATGGAAATGTAGTATTTATCTTTTAATTTAGTTCCTTTCAGTCAGGTCAGGAAAACAATAAATTATAGTTCAAAGAAATAAAATTATAGGTTTTTAGTTCTAAAGGCCAAATAAAAATATGCTCTTAAAAAAAAGACCTTCTCCGCTTTGCATCAAAGCTAAATGATAAACAATGATAATTTATCAATTATAAAAAAAACCAATATATATATATAGAAATATAAATGTATAATTATGTATAAAGTAATTTTTTACTAGTATCGACTGTGTTGCAGAAAACCATTATAATATTTATATTCATGGAACCGTTTTCGACTACTAGCAAAGAAAATATTATTGAAGAAGTCGATGTGTATTTATTTAAAATGCCAGTTGAATATTCCCTTGGTCACTGTGTTTCAAAAGATATGCATATGAGTGCTGGTATAGCTTCATATTTCAAGTAAACAAATTTAATTTGAATAACATTAGAAAGTATTGATCATTATGATTGTTATAATATTATGTTACATCTCTCCCTACAATTATTTTACTTTTTTTAAATTTTAGATCAGTATTTGGTAGAGTTGGTGAATTAATGGATCAAAGACCAGGTGTTGGTGATGTAGCTTATTTAAAAGTAAACGATAGATTCGTCTTTTATTTAGTTACAAAAGAATTAAAATACCTAAAACCTACATATAAAACATTAACTTCAGCAGTCATAAAATTACGGGATCTAATTGTTAAACATAATGTGAAAAAACTTGCACTTCCACGTATAGGATGCGGTCTTGACAAATTAGATTGGAAAGTCGTAAAACAAATTCTTTATGATAAATTTCAAGATGCTGGATGTATGATCAAAATTTGTCACTTTACTCATGTAAGTTATTAACGTAATATTATTCTTTTATATTTCAGAAATTTCTACTTAATTATTAAATTTCTATATATAATATAATATCTCATTAAGATTTAGTCAATGGTTATTTGAAAAAAATGTTTTACCTTTTGTTAATACTATATTAGGTAATTATTAAAATTATTAGCTTAGCTCAGTTCAGAATAAAACTATTAATACTCTACCCTAAAGTTTGACTTTTTTTGATATTTTTGAAATTGATTCATAACAAGTTCTGAATTTAGCAAACCAAAAAGATTAAACAATTCCTAATAAAACTCACAAATCACGTTGAAAATGGTACAAAGCAGTGTTTTATTTTTACATTGGAGACAATTTTTAATTGTGAAGTTCAACCACACATAAGATTATATTTTATGTAATTGTGGTCCAACTGTAATGACTGCACACCCAATAGTCACCCACATCATCTAATAATGCCAAGAAGTAAATACCAAGTATTTGGGTTTCTGCTTTAAAGACAGAAGATTGTATTAAACTCTTAATAACTAGACATTTGTTTAACTGAATTTGAATACTTGTTATTGAAGAGCTCAAAAATAAAAGTAAATATTTTAACTGAAAAAAAAATTAAATGATAATTGTTATTACCTACGTGTTTATGAGGTAAATTAAACAAACGGAGTTTTAATCAGAAATGTTAGAGAAAACAAATAAACATTTAAATAATATTTTTTAGGAATTTAATTATATTTTAAATATTTGCAAAGAGTTGGAAATATTTGAACGTTTTTGAAACATTAACCAAATCGTTATTGTTAAAAAAAAAAAAATTGAAAAGTTTTAACTGCCAAAGTACAACTAATGTAGAAAAGAAATGTAAAAATTAAGGTCACAATTAACATTGAATAATAATAAACAATTTAAATAATTTAACTATATAATTTTTTAAACTGAAGTATGTTTAATTAGGGAAAATGTATTTGTGTATTAAAAATTCATCATGTTCTGTATTGACATTAACATTTAAATTTTTTTCAGGATAAAGATGTAGAACGTAAATCGTTTCGTATATTACATCCACGTATTCTAAAGACTACTAAAGAAATAAAAAACATTGGAAAAAGAGAATTTGAAAAATTAAATTTTATATTATACGCCTATAGCACAACCACGCCAGTTTATTGGGATTACCGATTTAATCGGGTTAACGACAAGTATAATTTTAAGTCGCAATACTTTAAAGATTTCAATAATAATCTAATGGTAGGTGAATGTCTGTACTACAGTACTAACGAGGCCCATGTGTTTGTGATTTTTGTCAAAGAACGTTTATCAGATAGCTTTTCGTACCAAAACTTAGAAAGCGGATTGTTAAAAATAAAAAACATTATTTACACTAATCAATGGCATCCAACATTCATTGTCCAAGAATTAGAAGAACCAGCATTTGAAAGAACGGCCAATCAAAAAATTACGTCATTAATTAGTACAATATTCATACCGTTAACTCCGTGTGTAATTTTTGAAAAACGAGAAGACTTCTTATTTACAAACTAAGTTAGATTAATACAATGTTAGTCTATAATTTGTTTTATTATTTATTTACAAATGTATTTGTATTGGTAATAGAAAAACGCTATTATGAATGTATATATTAATTGTTTAATGATTATTTAAATTCTCATAATTTTTTTAAATGAGATACTTGTATAATAAAAATGCCTTTTTATAAAAATTAGAAAGGTTATTTACGCTTGGCTTGTTGACCTGACGCTCGTAAAACAGCACCTGGACTAGGATACGGTCGCATTTGAAATAATGGTCCTGAAGCGGTAGTGTCCACTCCTGACTTTGTGTCTACTGCTAATCCATCATTCCATGAACCTCTATAATATTAAAAATATACATTTTATTTCTGTGTTCTAATATAAAAAATTTCCGCTAACAAAGTCTATAAGTAGAACTTATTCAGATGATAAGTTGTACATAGCTTTTTATAGGTAAATTTTATAGATCATTAAATTTTATCTCAATATTAATTATAGCATTACATAATACATATTTGTTAAGTATTTTAATTAAACAGTAGTGGGTAAACATCATCTAAATGTCTTATATTGATACTATTAAAATAAATAGTTAATTTATTCGTTTATTTTTAGTACTAAAAATAAATATAATTGATAAGAGATAATACTCTAACAGATAAACTACACTTTTTAACTGAATTGTTTATACATGATTCGTAAAAGTACAATCTTAAATCAAGTATAATTAAACAAAATTGTTAACTCCACAAGTAAATGTTTGAGAGACTAGTAGTTTCAGTTATTTTTTTTTTAGTAGATGATTCTCAAATTTATAAGTTTGGCATTGAAATTTTAAAAATGTATTAATTTTTCAAAATAATAGATTATTTACTGCTTAATCGGGTTGGAATACAGACAGGATGGCGGATAACAATACGACAGTATTTGTTTTCATGTACATACCCGACAACATTTATTTATATTTTATACAGTTATTGCATACTTGTTTTGCCCTATTATTATGTTGCTATTTTTACAATTGATATTTTGGCCAGTTCTCAAATAATTTATAATGGAAATATTATAAATTTAATTATTTACCTGGCAATATCTGAATAAGATGCCGGGTCCATAGGATCAAGATCATTTGATTTAATTACTTTCCTTGGGGGTTCTTTGCGTTTTGGTTCCCTATCGTATCTGACCTCTTTTGCCCGGATCTCTTGAACTGGCGGTAGAGGAGGATTTTTTTTTCTCTTTAGTTGTTCATCTTCACTGTCTTCACTGTTACTCTTCATAACAAATCATATTATAAAATATAATAATTCATAAACTCAATTGCAATCAATAACTACCTCAGAATCGGAACTTTTCTCATCCATGTTTTGCATTATTGCATGTCGTTCGAATCGAAATTGTGCCACAGAATCGGTGACTATTGAACGAGGGTGACTTGGAGGTAGCCAGCTGACCGAATCGTTTACAAAATCCCAATAGTAAAAACGACCACTACAAAATAATAAAACAAGATTGTCTATAATTATAATTTTTTTTTTTAAATATACTTTAATACTTTTCTTTAACTAGTAAAAAACAGAATCTTTTAAACCACTACTCTTTGACAATATTATAATACAATCTATATTTTATACTTACGTTCCAGGATCATATACTTCATGCCAATTGTTCGGCAAAGGATATTTTTCTAATAATGCATTTCTAGCTTTTAAATATCCATTTTTTGGTCTTTTATTTCCATTTTTCCATCGCTGTTCACAAAATGTTGTACACTCATGGTATACATTTGACTTATTAGGACAACCATGATGGCCCTAAACATATTAGATGAACATTAAGTCAAGCATTTTATTACGTTACAGCTTAACTTACTTTAAATTTATCTAATATTTTAGGGTCAGGTTTATCATTTTCTTCATCACTGTCTTGAGAATCAGAACTTGAATTTTGAATATCGTCATAGCATTCTGCAATTACTTCTTCTTCTACTTCTTTAACATTAGTTTGGGCTGAAATTATTGAAAAAAAAAATCCAATTTTTAGCCTAGGCTTTTGTATTGATTTATACTAAAACCAATCTAATGCCGTAGCAACAGGCGCTGGTTCCTTCAATTTTTTTATTTGTAATAATTTACGTGAATAGCACTAGTAACTGTCAATTGTTGTAAAATATATTATACTATTATATATCCTTAAGGCCTCATTAACTAACACCCCATCATCCAAAAATACATTTCTGGCTACAGAATAAAATATACAAATACAACAATTTTTTTGAGACAAAGTGAAATATTATAATTTCTCAAACAAAATAGTCGAGTGTCAACATGTTAATATAATTTGTTTACTTGTACGATAATAATTATCACTTTTATTTTAATATTCATATACGTCTTACAACAATAGCACTTAAATCATATCAAAAGCTTAGTTATAACAAATAACTAGTTTTCAAAATTTCACGCTTAACCTATAACCGTATTCTAAATTTAGACATGGCCTACCATACATTTTGTTTTTAAGCTAGATTTTTAAATACCGAAAAAAAAGTTCATAACTATAGTTACCATCGTTTTGGGAAAGTATTCCACGAGTAGCTAGTCTTTTAGCTAAAGCTGGCGGTAGAGGCATCTTTTAATAATTGAAAATACTGCAATTATTACGAATGAGAAAAAACTTATTTATTTTTTTAATTTACTGAAGAACTTATGGTTTATATTCTATTTAATTTTCAAAATATTTAAAAGCCTATTTGAATGTTATTACCAAAGAGCAAATCTATAAAGACGGATGTTTACGTTGGTGTTATTATGTCATATCTATTATCACGTACAGAATCATTTATAATCAGTCTAATTTCGGGAAACAACACAGATAATAGGTGGGAAACAATGAATTGTCTAAACATGATACGCGTTATCAATGTACAGACAACTGATAACATACCGCATGACAGTATAAGAAAACAGACAACAGTATTTATAATAAAAAATTTACCCATACAAATTATAAAAAGCAATTTTTGCAATTATAAAATTATTTATGTGCAAAATTTCAACTTGCCGATAAAAATATTTCCAGCTATTTTATAATAATATTATATTTTATTATAATTTTCGCCCACAACAGTGTTTGCACCCCTGTAGGCGGCTCTCCCTTCCACCGGTACGAAACTGTTTGTCATTCGCTGCTCGAACATTCTAGAAAATTCCCATTTCCCTCGATCGATCCCTCATTTGTGATTTCCAAGTTACATCTTTTTACCGGTACCAACTACCATTTCACATTTATGATTCGCCGTTTACCTCGAGTGTGTTAAATTGTTAGTTATTTACCGACTCTCGTTTACCGGCTCTAATTTCATTCCGCGTTGAAGTAGGAATATCTCTAAACGTATTATATCCACGTGTTTTTGTGTGTGTGTTTGTGTTTCAATTAAAATGGCTTCAATGTCTGTAATCGGTATAGATTTTGGTAGTGAATCGTGTTATGTGGCTGTGGCTCGGGCTGGAGGTATTGAAACCATCGCCAATGATTACAGCTTACGAGCAACGCCTTCGTGTGTAGCGTTCAGCCCCAGGAATCGCATCATCGGAGTGGCTGCTAAAAATCAAATGGTAACCAACATGAAAAACACCATACACGGGTTCAAACGATTACTGGGACGGTCAATCGACGATCCGTTCGTCCAACAAGAAATCAAGTCTTTACCATTTAATGTTGTGAAATGCGACAACAACAAAATTGGCATTAACGTGAATTATCTCAACGAACAACACACTTTTAGTGTCGAACAAATCACTGGCATGCTGTTGACGAAACTTAAAGAAATATCAGAAATATCTCTCAAAACTAAGGTAAATGATTGTGTGATATCTGTACCGTCGTTCTTCACCAATGCTGAACGTAAAGCATTACTCGATTCGGCGGCAATTGCCGGCCTTAACGTATTGCGTCTGTTCAACGAAACTACAGCAACAGCTCTATCTTATGGTATTTACAAACAAGACTTGCCCAACTCCGAAGAGAAACCACGTAATGTAGTGTTTGTCGATTGCGGCTACACTTCACTTCAAGTTTTTATCTGTGCTTTCAACAAAGGCAAACTTAAAATGTTGGCTAGTACGTTTGATGCCCGATTAGGTGGTAGAGAGTTTGATCAACTTCTAGCTGAACATTTTAGTAAAGATTTCAAATCTAGATATAATATAGATCCAAGGACCAATGCTCGAGCATACGTAAGATTATTATCTGAAGTTGAAAAAATAAAAAAACAAATGTCAGCAAACTCGACTAAATTGCCAATGAACATAGAGTGTTTTATGGAAGACAAAGATGTGCACGGTGATATTAAAAGAAGCGAGTTTGAGGAGTTGGCTATGCATTTATTCGATAGAGTTGAAAAAACATTAGAACAGTGTCTTAAAGATTCAAAACTTAGCAAAGACGACATATATTCAGTAGAAATTGTTGGAGGTTCGAGTCGTATTCCATACATCAAGGGATTAATAGAAAATATTTTTGGAAAATCTCCGAGTACAACTTTGAATCAAGATGAAGCCGTCGCTCGAGGTTGCGCCTTACAATGTGCTATGCTGTCACCAGCCGTCAGAGTTCGAGACTTCAGTGTTACTGATATTCAAAACTTCCCAATTGAGCTTGTATGGGAACCAGCCGATGACTCTGACGATGGTCATGCCGAAGTTTTTCCCAGGAATCATCCTGTTCCTTTTTCAAAAATGCTGTCATTCTACCGCCTCTCTCCATTTACTGTTAAAGCCCATTATACAGGATCTATTCCGTATGCTGACACTTATATTGGTCAGTTTACAGTGCGCGATGTCAAACCAACATCGGACGGTGCCAGTCAAAAGGTTAAAGTAAAAGCCAGGGTTAACATTAATGGTGTATTCAGTATTAGTAGTGCAACTCTTCTAGAGAAATCTGAACAAAAAGAGGAATCCATAGTCCCACCATCTGAACCAATGGAAACTTCCGAAAAAGATCAGCAACCAGCCGAAAATGAAGAAAACAAGACCGAGGAGAAAAAAGAAGAGAAGAAAAAATCGGTGACCAAAACAATCGACCTACGTATTGATGCACTTACCCACGGGTACTCCGTCATGGATTTAAATAATTATATTGAACAAGAAGGTAAAATGGTAGCTACTGACCGGCAAGAAAAAGAAAGAGTCGACGTACGAAATTGTCTTGAAGAATATATCTATGACATGAGAGGGCGTATTTCTAGTGAAGAAGATCTGGCATCTTATATTTTAGATAGTGATAGGGAAAAAATTTCCAAACAATTGGAAGAACTAGAAACGTGGTTATATGAAGACGGTGAAGAATGTTCCAAAGCCATTTACACTGAAAAATTGGATTTATTGAAATCTGTTGGTGAACCTATAAAGAGACGCAAAGTTGAATACACCACTTTCCCATCTGTAAAAGATCAAGCCTTTCAACTGATCGCACACGCTCAAAATGATGTCGATGCTTTCCGCAAAGGAAGTGAACAGTTTAATCATTTAGAAGCCGCCGATGTAGACAAATTAGCCGCAACCCTCAGTGAAGCTAAAAGGCGGTTAGAAGAGAAGGCCAATCAAGTTGCTAGTACTCCATTATACAAAGACATTCCATGCAAGGTAGATGAGTTGCTAAAAGAAAAGCATAGTATAGAAGACCAAGTGTTTAAAGTACTATACAAACCAAAACCAGCACCCAAAGTTGAACCTCCCAAAGAAGAAGCTAAAAAAGAACCTGAACCCATGGAAACCGAACAGCCAGTACCGAATGGAAATGATGCATAGAAAACGAATGCACTTATTTTTTATTTTTATTGTTTAATATATTATTTTGTTTTGATATATCTGTCACTTTATATTTACATTGTGTGAATTCACAGATAAAAATATTTTCTAATGCAACAATATTGTATTACAAATTAATAAATTAAATATAAAACACATATTTACTTACTAGTTCAATAGTAGACATTCATAACTCTTCATGGATTTCTTGTTCTTTTTGTTAACTATTTAAAAAACTAACTTGAAAATAAACCAAATTATTATCTTTATTAATATTTACTTAAGTTGTTTTTATTGTTGAGTATAATTCCAGTCTCTAAACTGATGTCATAAATTTATATTTCAAGCAAATTTTCATAGTTTTGGAACAAATGACTTGGAAACGTATTGAATAAAAGTGGAAAGTAGTATGACGTTAAGCTAATAACTAAAATGTTTAGAAATGGGTGAACAAAATAGTTATGTGGTTATCTGTTAAAAACAAAAAATATGTCTTGTGTACCTACTTATAAGTCTTTATTTTAAATTTATATAAAAATGTGAATAGTTTATTTACTCCTTTACTATTTTCTAGAAATATTAGACTTCACAAAAAAGAAACTATGAAATGACTAGTCTCGGTTATTTTATTGAGGCAAACCCAATACTAGCAGTTATATAAACATATATATATTATACATATTGCTTTCATTGTGGTTTTCTTTCATGACTCGTTTCCAAAATTAATTATATAAGTCATTTGATTTACAAATATTGGGTTAAATACACATAAGGCTTGATTTATTTATACATAAATTCTAGTTGCATTTAAATATTTAAGGCCGAAGCGAAAAAACAGTGTATACCTAGGCTATTAAGGAATTATGTCGTTTGTATTCAATACAAAAAAAAAAAAAAAAATTGAATTAAAATAGTTTATTAAATACTTGTAAATGAAGTATTTAAAAAAATATTTGAAACTGACCAAATTATTTAAATACCAGTGCTACAACAAACACTGATAGAGATGATCAATATCCAAGCTAAGTTAATGGACACAAAATTTAATAATATTAAGTCCATCAGCAATATGTTTAACAAATTTTCACAAGCTATTGCACGAGAAAAAAAATTAAAACCCTAAGTATAAAATTTACGAATAGTTATTATGATTATCCTTTTTAGTCCGAATACACATTAAGACATTTTCAAACAGTTAAATCTTTAAAATATGTTTTAATTAGCAGATGGAAATATTTCTTAATTTAAGTATTAAGCTAATTTAATAATTTATCCGATTACTTCTTACAAATCAAAATTATCAAATGCCATTGACATTAATCTACAATAGAAAAAAAAACTGAAATTAAAAACATTTCAGATAGAAGTCCTCCACAATTAACTATAATTAATATACATTTTAAACCAAACTCAATTTATAATTACAGAGTAGTTTTCACAATTTTATAAATTATACTTGTATACAATTTTAATTTTTAATTTTAAAATGAAAACTACATCTGTACGAGAGAATAAAATTAGAAAATTTAGAAAGTATCAAAACAAGGTGACGTAAGTGGTACACTATCAAAACTTATATTAATAGGTAATATACATTTAACAATTTTATCTTAACATACATAAGAGTTAATATCGGCAAAAATGTTATATATTATGGTATGAGCAGTAGGTTATTATAAAATAAATCTTAAATTATACATATGATGAAAAATATTTTATATGGTGTCATACTATTTTTTTTATTTGTATTACTGTAGATCTGGAAAAGGTATAAAAAAAGTCCAAAAGAAACTCCACTTTTTTTTATAATATTTGTGACTGGCTGCATATATTTCAAAATCTGGTTAAACCCATAGCTTTTATTTATAACTTATAAAAATTAAAAACAATGATTTATTTTTTAATATAGCTACCATCATAATATTTAAATAGAAATTTAAATATATTGAAGGTCGGTAGATTATTATACAGTGTAATTAATAACAGTTTACAAGTAATTTATCATATTCTAAGTTTTATTAATAATAATAATAATTAAAAAGAAGATTTTGAAAATGTTTTAGCCACTTAGTATAAAAAAAAAAAAAAGAAATGTTTTAACTCGTTCAACTTATTAAGTCGTTTGTTATTATTATTTGTCTAAAGCTGTGTTTGTTTTAATGGCAATCACAACCTCTTCACCGCAAGACTTCAATACAGTACACTGAAAATTTAACGTCAATGTTTTAATTTTGCAATTTTATTACTTAATTTAAAAAACGTGTACCCACCAAAAGCTCTTTTCCAAGATCGAAGTCGGTTTTTAATTGTAGGCCAAGCTCACTGTCTGGGACCTTCAAATCTTCACGCAACTCACCGTTGTCAGACATCAAACTCAAGAAACCATCATCTGATATGTCAGTTAACTAAAAAATTCAATTTTTTATTTACATACATAGCATAGATACATACTACACAAACATTTCACATTTTTACTATTTCAACTTGTTTAGTAAATCATTAAGTAAACAGATTTTTCTATTTTTTTAATAAATTACCTGATAATCTTCACGCTTGACATGGGGAACGTCCATATTGTGAGTTGAAGGACAAATATCTTCATACTTCTTGCCAGAAAATATGTCTAAGCCAACTAAATGAACCTTAGCGTGGCCGTGCTTACCAGTCTTAGAAGTAGACATATCCACAATTTTACAAGGGCGGGCCTAAAAAATAATACTCATGATATAACAACAAAGTTAAAGACAGTACATTTTTACAACAAAATAACTTATTATAAATAAGACAGATTACTTAATTTATTATAATATGGTGGAACGTTATTCTTGTAATTTATAATATAAGGCCGATACTTCAAAAATCAACTTTTGAGTCCAACATAAACCAAAAACTTATCTAATGTGTAACAAAATTATAAAAGCACTGGCGATGAATTTTAACAAGAAATTTTTAACTTTTCAACGAAAAATGTGTCGACCTGCCATACAAGTAAATAAAAGTAAAAATTTATTGACCTCAAGAAATTGATATTATGATATGCTACATAAATTAACCTAACTCTAGTCCATTTTAGCTTTATAACCGGAATCAATTATTATACTTGTTTCATAGGGTATCAGGTTATGCAAGCTACGGAACTAAAATTAGGAAATATTTTGTATAATATTAAAAAAAGAGGGATTCAATGGTTGACTAACTGTCGAGTGTGATTAGTTTAGCAATTAATTTACCATCTACCAAACGAACATAAGCAAATTGTTATCGGTTTTCAAGAGAGTTAAAAAAACTACTACCACAAAATGTGAGGGCAAAACTGTCGTTAAGGTAGCCATAACTTTAGAATATGTCAAGGATTTTAATTGCAGATTCTAATCAGTGTAATGAACACAAAATTTAGATTTTGGTAATGATAACAATCAACATCTAATCGGCAATGAATTAGTGCATTTTATAACAAAAAAAAGAGCTCAGATAGGATTTACCCATTGTTAAAACATTAGATCAAACAAAAAATACGTTTATACAAATATCAAGTTATACTCATGTAAGAATTACTCAGCTAATTAAATGCCTATTGTTACGAGTTGATATGAACAGTGTACAAAAACATGTCACGAATCCATAGCATTGTTCAAAATTGATTTCCATAATTCAACTATGTAGCAGGTATACTTGATTGCGACTAATTTGTTTTACTAAATACTTAAATTAATTTTATTATTACTTTCAACATGACGAAACCGTTCTTTCGCAGAGCCGAACATTGCATGGGGTACGTTGTAGACGCGCCAGAGTCTCCAGTATCAAAGTGAGTATCTTCGATGTCAGCCATTTTTTCAAAACAAAACTATAATAATAAAATAAACGTAAAAACTAAAAAGTTAACAATTTGTTCAAAATAATTATTCAACAGTAAGTTGTGTCGCTGACATCGTGTTAACAGAAAATAACCTAGAAAACCTCGTGAGGTATTCGAGACAATTTAACAGTTTGTTTCGACGCGTCGACGTGTTAGAAAAAACGCTGAACTACTTACTTCGTCAACAGAATGATAACAAAACGAACTATACTACTTCTATAATAATATGTTAAATATAAGTTTGAAATAACTTAAACAATAATTAAGGCAGTACAGTTCTAACGAATTTCAAAAAAAAAAAAATTCCAGCCTTTAGGGCGACACAACAGCACAATAAAAAAGAGATGGACGATAAGTCGGCGCTTTTTTGATGTGATTACCACCACCTGGTGGTCAACAATGAGACATCATGGAAGAAAAAACCCTAAACGCCAAAAAACTATTTTTTTTATTAAAAAAATTGAAATGAAAAAAAAAATTGAAATGCAAACATTTCCTAACTATCATTATTATCAATTTCCATGTCTTTGTGGGCCGATACTGTAATTTTTGTCAACTTAATCAGACTTCAGAGATTTCTACATATTTGAATGACCTCAGCTGTACGATAATGTACTTTGAATTATTAGATAGCCGGAAAAATGACAAATAGTAATATTTTAATCATTGTAATTCACTCAATATTAAATTTAAAAAAACAATTTTTTTTTTATAAATGACGACGAGATGATCAATAACTTAACTGAGGGGTAGAATCATATGTTTTTAAAATATATAATTGGGCAATTTTTTATGTAATATAATTAATTGTATTGCAATAATTTTATATAACATATATTTATTGTAAACACAACATTTAATCTCTACAGATGAATGATCAAAGTCCAAATATTTGTTTTGTCAGTTATTACTAAATTAAAAGTATGTTGTCAAAATCGAGTAGGAAAAAAGTATGTTTCTTAAAAAATTAACGTACATTATTATTTGTAAGTATGTGGTTGTTAATCTTAGGACAGGTTTGAAACAAAACCTGTTAAATTTGTTGAAAAAAAAATATATTAATAACTACCTACTCAACAATTAATTAGCATTTTTTACCAGGTAGTAATTATCTTAAATAGACATATTTACATAAGACTTAAAAAATGTAGGTAATAAAAGATCATAATTTTTTGGCCTATAAATACAAAAACATCCATTTTTTTTCTTGTTATTTTTTAAAAGTATTATATAATTATAGGTTATTTAATGAGACTATCCTGCTCGTTGAGCTAGATTTATCATATTTTGCTTTTTAATAAAGAAAAATGTATACATTTATACATTTTGTACCTGATGTAGAGATTAATAACTACACAAAAAATTATTAATGTTCCAATAACTATAATTTGAAAAAAAAAATAGTTATTCTTATGAAAATGTCTTGTATAGTGCGACCAAATATTATATAATATATAAATGAATGGACTATGAAGACAAGATATTTTTAAAATTTCAATACAACACTACGTAGAGTCACCATGTTTTAAGTCCTTTTTTAAGCAATCAAAATACAGTACAACTTCAATTTGTTTAGTTTTTGACACTAATGTTTCAATAATTGAACTTTCATAGATTCATATATAAAAAAACAATATAAAGTATACATGAAAATAATTACAGGATGGGACTTATTAATTTATTAAATTTAGCAGAAGATAACACTTTAAACACTCATTCTGAAAATTACAATCTTATGAAATATTTAATTTCCATTAGGGTTACAATTTAAAACATTTTAACAACAATATTATCACAAAAATAATTAGAATATATTAGATGTTTTTTTTTTTAATCAAACATTTAATAGTGTAATATACTATGTAAAAATAGGTTCCTTCTGTAAATTAAATTAAAATAATACATTTTTAGTTCATAACATGTTGAAATTATTTAAAAGTAAACACAGCATATAATGGTAAATGGTCAGACGGACAAAGTTTATTTGGCATTGGTGGTAATCCTTTACATTCGTCTACATTTGGAAGCTTCTGGTAAGTTTTTAATTTTAAACTTGTGTGTCTGAAATCATAAATTATAAGTTTCAATCAAATAATAATATACAACAATAGTTATATTTACATGTGAAAATGGTAAATTTTGATCATAGAAAAACTAACGCCTCAGAGTGAATAACAGTGTAAAAGATAAATCAAAATTGTATAAATCTTAACCTCATAACTTTTTAAAAAGCAAAATAATAATTTATAATCTTACTTGTTACAAAACTTAATTTTCTAAAGTTCTTAACTAAATACTACTTATATAATAAGGATGATATTATATGATGTTTTGCCTATTTACAATTATTTCAATAAGAAATTTACTTTTTAGACCAAACAACAAATAAAACAATTATTTATAATTAAATCTTAAGCAAAAAAATGTAATAGATTTTTACCATAATTATTTTGAGTTCTATATCAGATTATTCTAATAATATTTGAAATATAGGTACACAACTTAATTTGATCATCATTACTAGTCCTATACATTCCTTTGTATATTTGTTTAAAAAATAAAAATGTAATGACCAAAAAGTCTACAGGGCTACTATAAAGTTTATGACTTATAATAATTAAATATTACAATATTTAGTAAACTCTTTGAGGGTCTATTTTCTACTCATAAATCATTTTAATAATTTGGAAAAAAATATGCATATGTTAGTTTAAATATTATGTTATATGTATATATAAGTATAAATTATTACGTGTAAAATATATAGTCTACAATGACCCATTGATCGTGAAAAGTAGAACAACTTGAATCATTATATACAGATGCAAACTTTAAGTTGTGATACAAATTACCGGTACATTGCCTGAAAATCAATTTAAATTAGACAAAATATGAATATCTAAAAAAAGGAGTTATTCTAAAATATACCTACCCATATTTTGAATAAGAATCAGCCAAGGATTTATCATTTTTTCTTTCACTGTGATATAACTAAAAAAAAATTACAATATTAAACATAATTTCAAAAAATTAGTATTCTCTAAAATCCTTATAAAAACTTCAATCACAAATTAAACATTTGCAAAAAAAATATATTGTAAAAATAAAGTTAAAAAAAAGCATGTAATTATCATTTGTATAAAATAAAATTAGTCAAAAATACTATAAATATAATGAACTACAAAAATATAATAAATTATGATATTCGTTATAATATTACTACATAAATTATACTTATTGAGTTAAAAACAAAAATTAAGATTAAAATAATTTATTAGTAAAATTTGATTTATGATAACTTATAATGAAACCAATACAAAGAACAAGTATTATGAAATCTTAAAGATTTTTGTACAAAATTCAATACATGGCTCAACGTTAAAGAAATTATATTTGAAAATTATTTAAGGTACAGTAATAAATTACCTTTGAATATAAACTATCATTCGTCTGTCGCTTATGATTATTCGATGATCTTAATTCTAAAATATTTGTATGCTGACTATGTTCAGTTATGCCCAAACATTGTGGGATGAGTTCATTTCCCATTTCTTGCCTTCCACTCACATTGGTTTGAGGCCATAATGTTGGTTTTTGTAATTCACTATAGTTTAGAGCACCATTAATTAAGAAATCATAAACAGCAGTGTTAGGTTCTAAATTGAAATCGCCAGTCAACACAATCGGATGGTATAAAGGAATAACACGGTCATCGTCCCTATATAAAAAAAAAAAAATAATAATAATTATAAAATAAGTAAAAAAAACCTTAATGAATTGAAAACGGTTATATTGAAAAGCTATATTTTTTTAAATTTAAATATAACATTGAAAAACTGATAACTAGTATTGTTAATGAACAAACACCATATCGTCGCTTCCAAAAGAACAACGACCCATTTTTTTTTTTTTGGAAATTGGTTTTTCACGGTTTTGAAATTAGTAACAATAAATTTGTAAAGTCCATACGTAAAATTGTGGATAAGTAATTAGTTAATTTGTCAGAATTTTCCAGTGTTTTTTTTTTTTTGTACATATAAAATTGTTAAGAAAGGTATTTTTTCAGTTTACTCTCTTGTATAATTTGACTAGTTGCAGTTACGTCATTGTTTTCCGGAAGCCGCAATATTAGTTTTAACATCAACTGATAAAGTAGTGAAATTACTTATCATGTCCTTTGTAAGCTACTCTTTCAATTTCAGCCAGAAGCAAGTGCACCTGTGCTAACTTGACATCGTGTCGTTTTTTGTTATAAAGTATATGTGTTGTTGATACAATTACATTTTCATGTTCATTTTGACGTGGTGATAACCTCAGGACAATACCCACATTATCACGATCTAATACACTAATACCAGGTTGATTGTACTCAACAGTTACTTTTTCTTTAAGTACAAACTTATCATTTTTGTAATAAATAGCACAACCATCTTGGTGGCCATGAGTGCGTTTTTTATACACACCATTGTAACCTAGAAGTATATAAATTTAATTAATAATTAGAATTAAAAATGTTAAAATAAAGTTTAATGTCTGAAGCATAAATCTTTGCTTCACCTTACAATTTTATTTAATTATTTTTGTAAACTGTGAATATGACATGGCAAACCACATTCTCCTACATATTTATTCCCTTTTTATCTATAATTTTCAATATGATCATTTAATATAAGAGAAATAAAGACAATTTTTTTTAATATATGTTATTTTTATAAAATATCTATCGCCACCAGTCAAGTATATTAGGCAGCAAAGTAACACAAGACATTCCATTGTTATATATATATACATATAAAATGTATTAAAACTGTATTGGAATAATTGTAAAAACCATACTTGACTGAGGCAGCTAACATTACAAACCAGAAATAAAACAAAAAAGTAGACCTGTCTAGAAATTAAAAATAAGAAAAATAGAATTACATTTTTTTAATATAAAACTGAGTGTAAAAAATAGAAGTTGGAGACAACTTACACTGAGGTAAAATAAAAATTTTTAAATAACAATAGGACAAACAAATAGTATCTTTGCAGAGGAAGAACTAAACAAAGCAATTTAAGTAAGTAATATGTAACATGTATAATTAAGTTCAAACAGGAGTTTCCCCCTACAATTTTGTAGTTTTAATCACCTAATTAAAATCTGGCTTTTACAAAAACTATTATATTTCATTTGCTTACAAAAAGTAACAAGTTTTGTTTTTTTGCCTTAAAAATTAATACAGTTGCATCTGTAATGACAAAACTGATAAGTTAAATTTTTTCCATGTGGAAACAAACTTATTACTTTACGTAATAATTTGTAACTATTTATGAAATATGCTAGTAAATAATTTACCTATATCAGATAAGTTTCTGAAAAACCAATTTAAATGTGTTTCTTGAACTTCTTGAAAACATATTATCTAAAAACAAATATCTCAAATTAAAATTAAAGTAAATTAAAGTAAAAAAAAATTAAATCATTAACCCATCAACGACAAAAAACCATTGTAATCAAATATACTTTCGTTGATTGGTTAATAAAAATGTTAAGAAAGTCAACACGAATCAATTGTTTAATACTTTAATGGCCATCTAAAAGCATCCAATCATTTTTTTTTTTAGTTCTATGAATTAGAATAGTTTTTTTTTGTTCAATTTTACATTTAAATTTTAGATAATATTCCCTTTAACATCCTATCAATATCTACTCTCTTCCGAAATTGTCCCAATAATAGCACGTATCATTTTATTGTTGTAGAGCTGATTGGTTATTTAATATCATGTTTTTAATAGTATAAACTTTAAGAATAATTTTAACCACAAAGTAAAATTAAAAAAAAACTTTAGTTTTGTACTTACATCAGCATTATACTTTCTAATTTCATCCAACAAAAGTTTCCTTCTGTACTCCCAGTTCAATACACGTAAATCTGACCAATCATATAAAAAGGAATTCTTTTCTAGTAAGTTTTGAGCCAAAATGTTATATGATAGCAAACTAAAATCATATGAATTACTTCTTGCTAAAAATATTTAACTCTAAATTAATATTCAATTATACTAATACAAAGCCAAAGGCGGATAGGTCCACTGGAAAGTCCTCGGAGTTACTCTGTTCATATTCATCTACATTCTACAAGATGGTTAGTCTAGCCTCTGAGAGGAGTTCTTTTTTCAATGATTTTCCATCCTGTAAATATCGAAAGCCGCCCAAGACCGAGTTCCTAATTAGCGTTAGTGTACTCTTATCACAGAATAGCCTGTTTAATCTATTCTGTGATCTAAATACTAATGGCTTACCCACTGGGGCACATGTCCTCCTCTTTTGAAAGATTTACATAAGAAATATAGATACCCAAGCCGTCCTATTTCATGAATGACATTCACATTATAAAACTACAAGTTAGGCATCTCTGTTGAGAACACTAATCGGAGACCATCAACAATATCTAAAGAATGTGTATTTACAACAATAAAATAAAATTATACAAATACTAGTCAATTAATATACACATTTATTAGAATAAAATAGTATTTTAAAAATTTTTAATTATAATTGAGTATTGGTTCTAACAATTGTTATGGGTTTCTATCAATAAAAAGTAAATTATGATAGGATCTTTTTTTTTCATTGTAATCTTATTAAAAATTAGAACCCTCTTACAATTTAATTTTTAGACTGTAAAAAGAAAAAATTGATATTGTTATGAAGGAAAGGAAATAAAGCTAAAATATTAAATAAAATAATGAATTATTTAATTTTTATAAATATTATGATAAAGTTATGTCATAACTTTACTATTAACGGTTGAAATTTCAATTAAAAAATAAATAAAGAGACAAACAGATAGAGTTGTAAATATTAAATGATTATAGGTGCTGTTGTTAAGTTCATGTGTATTTAATCTTTTTTCTTCTGTCTTTTGCCTAATCATCGCAGATTCTTTTAAGTAGTAATTTATGTGGGCTGTTTATAGACCGATTGTATTTAATTTTGTTAAAAAAATTATAAATAATAATGGTATTTAACGTTAAACAATGCTTTCCTTATTTACTTTTGAATTGAAATGGATATTGTGGGAAGGGAACAGTAAGTTTTTGAGATTTTTAAAACAAGTTACTGGGAACATACTACAATAGCCCTATCCGCCCTATCCGAGTACTAAATTTGAAATATATACAACTCACGTTTGTTATCACAATGTACTAGAGGTCTAATGCGGTTGAGATAATTTTTCAAGTTGAAGCCTGAAAATGAAGCATTCCTGAATTTTGAGAAATTGTAGATTTCTGTTAAAAACATGTATAACACTTACTGCATGATTGACTTGGACTGGCCAAATGTAATATTAGCGATTGGACGTGTATGAGCAAGTAGACATATCTTATTAAATGTTCTGGCGAGATACATAAAAATAACAATATAAACATAGAAGAACTAAAAAAAAAATTGTCGATACGTTTATTTTTTTTTAACACAATTTTATTTGTAAGTACAATTAGGATATTTTTTTTACTAATAAAGTATAAATTACGTACTATCGTCGATTATTTAAAATGTTAATTTATTCAAAAATCCTTGATTTCGTGCAAGTACGCTGTGTGTTGTTGATAAAACCCGACTCACATGATAACTGATAACATATGAAACTGATTAAAACAATAATATAAAGGATATAATGGACCGAAAAAAAGGAGGTCACGTGGCTTTTAAGCTGTGTGCATCTTTTTTTTTTATCCTGGATTCTGATGTCATTATTAGATACTAATTGTTAATTATTATTATTATTTGTGAATTGTGATACGGTTAATGATAATGACTATAGATATTTATAGATCTATGTTTATGACCGATCTATTAGGTCAAAATTATTCAAGGTTTACCGTTTATAGATTATAAACCTTGAAAATTATTATCATTTTATTATATCTTTACCGATACACATATACTCTATATATCAATCGACTATTTGGTTCCAAAGAATTCAATTGCGAATCGATTGTTTATAAGTTATTAGGAATACAATTAATAATTAGATTTGACTGCTATGCAATTGATTGCGATACAAATAGTCGTATTAGTTCAACGTTTGTTTGGGAAATCATTTATACAGTCAAAACTCAAAACCAAAAAACATAATAATATAATTTATCCTTTTTCTGTAAAAAGGGCGGAATAATTTTTTTTCTACTCGAATTTAAGTTACAACCCTAGACTGAAATCTAGTAGAATTCGAAGTATGAATTCTATAAGAAATAATCTAACAACAATTTACATGTTATAACAAAATATAAATAAAATTGTTTTTTTCAAAAATTAATGTCTTCATTTCAAATACTATAAGGTTAATAAATATTTTAAGGAAATCGACACTCTACATTGTACTCTTTTCCTCTTATTTATTATTTTTTAAAGTTTATTTTCTTTTTCTTCTCTTTGAGCTTCTATAATGTAATACGGCTCCCTTATATCACTTATCAAATTGCGTTTGTTAAAAAGCGGGTCCACTATTTCGGGTAATAAGCATTTGATATAAAATAGATACGTACGTCGTACAATTTTATACACAACACAACATTTTATGATTTATATCACATTTTTAATTCTTACAATTTGAGTTTGTCAAACATTTCCGTGTTCATAAATAAATGATCGTAAAAAATCTGTTCGATATTTGTCTACTGAATACTTTATATGTACAACGAAAAAACACAATTTTTTCCCTGTAACCCTTAGTTGACCGATTATTTGATAATAATACGAGTGTTTTTTTTTTTAGGAAAATAACCCCGCTTTTCATCGACAAATATGGCAGCTAAAAATAACCGTCATATTTTTGTATGAGTATACAATATTATGATTTTATAAAGTAAGTAGTCGAAGCACTAAACAAACCATTTTTCGGTTAATCGTTTCAACAGCGCTCCTTGTATTTCTTTCTTTGTACGGGCATTTAATTTTTTTATTTTAATAATGGCTTTTGTAATTACACATTATAGCACAGCATTTAATTTCTATAATACAGTATTATAAAAGCAATTTTTTTTCAGATTTAACAAAATTTATTTACAGGCCACGAGCATTAATATGTATTAAAAAGCAAATTGTTTTACTCCAGTTTAGTCTTAGGAGGACGTTATATCTTATGCCCCTTATTTATTACGGAGTACTGTATAGGCAATTTATTTTGTTAAGTTTTTATCAGCTCCATATCCAAGAAATCATTTTTTATAGCATATTTTTTTTATTTTAAAACTCAGCATATTTTATACTATTATTATTATCTCGACAGTTATGTACAAAATTAACACGTGTTCATTCATTTTGTACATTTAAAACATAAAATGCCGACGTGCAACCACTGTAAACATTCATTATTTTCGTTTTGATTTTTCATTCGTACTTCTTTTAAAAAAGTTAATTAAATATACATTTATATTGAAATGTTATTTTTTTAGATGTTAAACTTATGCGTATGTATAAATTGTATAATGTATAATATGTACTCCTATGTAATATAATTTATTACGAAGAAGCACAAGTAGGCATTGTATATTATTGTATATTCGAGTTTTTACCTTTTAAAAAATTAGTTTTATGACGTATAATTTGATAAGCCATATCAGTAAAGTGTTAACCGCGAACGATGAACTATTGTACTTGGTCTAAACCCAATATGGCGTCCATTCACCGATTATTCCGGGCTAATCAATTCATCCTATCGGTGACTCGCGAACCTGTACCATGAACACGGAGGTCGGAGACTACCAAATACAGAGTAGTGGTGACGGCAAGCGGGGAGAGTTTACTTACTGTATGCTCCAAAGATTATTTATGTGTTCAGACTTCAGTGCGGTTCTTGTGTTAATGTGATTTCGTTCGTGTAAATTATTGTCGAATATCGGTATCGAGGGAACGTACGTGCTAACCGAAACATGGGAAAGTGCTGTGAATCTAAACGTTCGACATAAATGTGTCCGTGAAATGATCATCAAAACGATTGTTTTGCGTCTTGCCGTCGTCGTGTATTGCAGAGATAACGAGTGTCTTGTTTAAAGAACATCCGTAGTACAATGGAGGAGACCAAAGTGATATATCACATCGATGACGAGGATACACCGTATTTGGTGAAATTGCCAATCGCTGCCGACAAAGTTACATTGGCTGATTTCAAGAATGTACTCAATCGACCAAACTACAAGTTTTTCTTCAAGTCCATGGACGACGACTTTGGGTTAGTGATAAGAATATTATGTCAACATAGCAATATTTTGACTATAATACTTCATTATTTGTTTTTGAACTCGAATCATAGATGTTCACCCAATTTAGTAACGAAAAACTAGCAGTTGTTTGTTAGACGTTACTAAAATGTTAACTCATAAGATTATGTAACACGTCGTATGAATATTGCCATAACAGACGAGACAGAATAGGTTAATCAAACTGTTGTGTAAAAGAAAAATTAAATTTTATATAATGTATACAGTATCAATTGGAAATATATTATTAACAATCGAGGGTAGCGATAAGACAAAATAACTAGTCTGCGATAAAATGCCTATCAGTCTCTAATACAATCTTATAGTGTTTAAAAAATTATGTTGTTTGTAGTTTGTAGCCATTCTGTTAAGTCTGACATCAAATTTATTATATCAAAATTGTTTGATTTACGCAAATTGCTTTATCTAGTTGGTTGCATACAATTTTACCTAACAACATTCTTGTTATAATATGTATAGTTAATATTATTTGTTAAGAGAAAAAACAATATTTTAATGATGTTTATAAGAATATTTATGTATTATTAAATAGTATTAAAATTCTATTATTTTAATATTTCAGAGTTGTTAAAGAGGAAATTGTAGAAGACGATTCTCCATTACCATGTTTCAATGGCCGTGTCGTTTCATGGGTGAGTAGATTTTAAGCAAAAATTCAATATCTTTTGGTAGTTTTTTTAATTGTCTGCTTAAACTATAATTTTTATTTTAACACTAACGCAAATTAAGAAGCAGTATTTTTTGCTTAAGTTTTATACCTAATCAAATTATGATAAAAAAATGTTTAAAAATGAATATTCAGTAAAAAAAAAATAGTAATTAAAAGGTAGATATGAGCTAAAATGCAGCACCCAAGTGGCCCAAATTTGCCGACCATGCTGCATTAGTGAACATATTACGCCCCATTAAAGCAAAATCGTATATTTTAAAGTTAAAAATCTCTGTAAAAATAAAACCAATTGGATAAAAGTCTCATCATTTTATTTAATCTAAAGATTAAATTCTATAAGTTTTTTGACAGATGTTCTTCACTTGCCCCTGACTTTGAACCGTGACCGTGGCCTTAAGGGTCTTATACTTTCAGTTTTTTGCTCATTAACGTCGCTTGGAAAAAATTAAATTTTGTTTTTTGGTCCAAATTAAAATTTATTTTTTTCTTAAAATGTGTAAACATTTCAATACTTGTACATGGTTGAATAATAGTGCTGGTAATTATCATAGTCATATGCAAATATTCTAAGAAGTAGTTGTAGAATATTTTTCAGTCATATATGCATGCATTAAGTTCATTGTTTGCTACATACTCACTTTTATAGTATTTGAAATGTTAAAAAAATATTGTGGTTTTGAAAAGTCGAAAAATGTATAGATTTTTAATTTTAATTGGCCTAATAATGAACTTATAGTTATACTTTCTTTATTCTTTAATGAATTCACTTGAAAGAAATGTACCTATGAATGTATATTTTATTTTTTTGTTATAAAGTGAAAATTTTCCAGTTTGATTACATATGGTAAGGTTAACTACCCAACAACCAGTCTAATAATTGGACAACTATTTGTGTTTTATATGGAAATGTATGTAACTTGTTTTTACTTTTCCATATAGTTTAAACAGTTAATATGTATTTTGAAATTGTATAAACAAATTTGTAGTCATAAATGTTTTATTATTTAATGTAATTTCATTTAGATATAGAATTAGTGTAATCAAGCAGCCCTTAATATATGAAGGGCACAGAGGAAAAACAGTAGTAGTCAAATTTTGAAAATTTTAGAGTATTGCAAAAACAAAGTTGGTGGTGAATTCCTCTCCCTTTACATAAGAACAAAAAAAAACATAAAATGCTATTCTAATAAAAAATGTATTTATTTAAACAATCTATTGACATAAATAAAAAGAATTAATGGCTTAAATTGAAAAAAATATTTGAAAAAAATTTTTTCATAATGTGACTACTTCCGTTTTTCCCCTGTGCCCATCATATTCCAACTCTTGGTTCGCTCTTTAAAAAAATAATTCATATCCTCGTTCGTATTTGAAATTAACTCATTCCTTACCATATTTCTAAAAAAAATTAATAATTTACATAGTTTATTAACGTTTTGGAACAAGTCTATTTTATGGCCCAAACAATTTAATTACATTTTTTTTATACTTGAGTTTTGTCCAGATTTTTTTGCTCACACTTAGATTTTAAGTAGTTGAATCATATATTTAAAATTAAATGTACTTAGTATTCTTTAATTAAACCTTTTCAAAGTATGGGAATACTAGTATAGTTTGAAAATGGATCAATGTAATTTTCAAACTTTAGACACTGATGAAAATATTAACCTTCAATCGGTTGCGTGGGGTGAATAAACTCTCAGCTCTAATATAGACGTCATTACACAAAAAAGTGCGTGACAGATTGAAGGTTAAATATATTTTCAATAGTTTTTACATCGTAACAACATAGAATAACAAATTTTACTTTTTATGAAATGTTGAAAGTTTTTAGTAAATGTTATATTAATATTTTTGAATTTTTTTTACAGTTAGTCGCAGCTGAGGGAAGTAACATCTCAGATGGTACATCTCAAGGCACAGACTCTGGTCACCACACTCATCGAACTGGAGGGGACAATCAGTGAGTTATTCTAAATTTATAAAACTAAAAAAAATGTATCATTACTGATCATCACTGTTAAAAGTAAACACATTTTATCATGAATATTTTAAATAATAATGAAAATTTTTATTAGAGCTGCCAAAGCATCGTTACGAGTACATCAAGAAGAGATAGGAACTTGTACGGATACAGAATCGTCAATATCAAGTTCGGTACGACCAGGGCATCATATGGGTCGAGATGGTCACCATCGTTTAGCAAATCCAAAATTTCTGAAGTATAATGGTTTGGGAATGAATGGTCACCCCAAACAACATAGACCCTATGGTTCATCGTCAATGTTAAGTTCAGAATTAGAAACTACGAGTTTTTTAGAGAGTGACGAGGACGATGCTTCAAGTCGAATAACTACGACAACTGGTCGCGCCACCAATGTTTCTAGCGGTGAGTTAAATTAACTAATTATATGAAATAAAAAATTGATTAATGTATAAAAATATTTGGTTTTAGAATGGCAACGTTTAGCTGGTAGCGGCCGCCGTCGAACACAACAACGACGTAAAAGACATCAGAGACCAGCTGGCCCAGGAGGAATGTGCCGTACGTCTTCATTTTCATCAGTCACCGACTCTAGTATGTCTTTGAACATAATTACAGTTACATTGAACATGGATTCTGTCAATTTCTTGGGCATATCAATCGTCGGACAAAGTAATAATGGCGGGGACGGAGGCATTTATGTTGGTTCTATAATGAAAGGGTAAAACAGTATTACATAACTATTACCTTATATAATAGTACTTAATTTTATAATTAATCCTACAACTATAAATGGTTTGTATTTGTAAACTTTATTTTATGCATTTTTTAGAGGTGCAGTTGCTTTGGACGGGCGAATTGAACCTGGTGATATGATACTTCAAGTTAACGATATCAACTTTGAAAACATGTCAAACGATCAAGCTGTACGTGTTTTAAGAGATGTTGTTCAGACACCTGGGTAATAAATTTTAAACTAAATTTTGTTTTTTGTATTGTCAGTAAAATATATATTCAGAACATTCTAATTACATAAAACATCTATTAGCCTTGACGTGGAGTTAAAGAATTATCATTAGGTAAAATACTTTTTATTATTAATTTTCAGACCAATAAAACTAGTAGTGGCAAAATGTTGGGATCCAAATCCAAAATCATATTTCACAATTCCTCGAACGGAACCCGTTCGACCTATCGATCCTGGTGCATGGGTCGCACATACTGCAGCAATGAGAGGTACAATTAATATTTTCATTTCTCAAGTATTAGTAAGTTATTTATTTGATAAGTCAATTTTGTTGTAGGTGAAACTTATCCTTTACGTCCACCGTCAGTATCAACGGTTACATCCACAAGTTCTTCTCTTGTGTCTACTATGGCCGAAACTGAAAGTGAGTCTTGTTTAAAGAAATATTTTGGATAATTTGTGTAATTGTTTTTATTCTCTGTTTTAGTAAATGCCGCTTCAGCTAGTACTTTTAAAGATCTCCAGTTAGATGTGCGTACTACTGATATGCTGAGCATTGTTAGAGCTATGGCAAGGCTCGACTCCGGTTTAGAGATTAGGGATAGAATGTGGCTTAAAATTGTTATACCAAATTCATTTATAGGTTTGTTTTATTATTAATATTTTTTTAACATTAATTTTAAATCAATTAATTTTTATTTTTTGTAGGTGTCGATGTAGTAGAATGGCTCGAGACCCACGTTGAAGGTTTCCAAGATCGTCGAGATGCACGAAAATATGCATCGCACATGCTCAAAGCTGGTTACATCAAACATACAGTTAACAAAACGACCTTTTCCGAACAATGTTATTACGTCTTTGGAGATCTTTTGTCTGCAGGTGTGTTAATATTTGTTATCACTTGATTGTAAGGTTGTGTTTCAATGGCAATATGTCACCTTATCTAGGTATGGAACAAATAAAAATCGATAGCGAGTCAACTGAAAATGCGGGGGTTGGTAACCACGGCGCGTGGGATATGCCGTATTCAGGGACGTTCCATCCAAATTCTTCTCCAATGCCATTTAACTATTCTGGGGAACCACCTCGTTATTTGTTCGATAAGGATGAGAGCGGCTCAGGTAAGCAATTAAATTAAATTTAGTTTCTAATTAAATTAAAGTTTGTCAATATGCATCAGCGTGTCGATGCTCTTTACGAACACTAACACGTTTGCATAACTTTCGACCAAGACTAACACTTTTGGTTGTTTTAGTTTAGGAAATAGTGCCTGCTTGCATTTGCTTTGGGCTTATTTTAATAACATCTAGATGTAATTGGCAAAACATTATTTTTAATATAGACTTTGGACTGTGAAAGTTATTTAATATCCTCGTTGTCTTAGCGAGAACTTTCAAAACAGCTTATAACTAAACTATAATTTTTGATCTGTATTAAGTATAATATATTGCCAACGACGTAGGGATGCTAAGCTCTGTGTAAACCTGAGGAGACCAAGTTTCATTAACTGAGAATACCAAACTTGTTAGCTTTCCTATAGGGTTTTATAAAGTTGTTAAAAACTTTTCAATGTTGTTTTGTTCAGCTCACTTTAGTAAACTTATTGTTTTATTTTTTATTTTGTCTATTAAAGGTGGTAGCCGGTCTGGATCTGATATCATGAAACAAAATATGATAGGCTTAGCCATAAGCGAACACAGTGGCGGCACTGCTCAACAAATTCCCATTGGTGCTCCATCAACTGTCGAGAAATCTAGCGGTTCGGAAAAATCTCAAGTGTTAGCCCCTCCCAACACTGTACCTGCCGACTTATCTGCAAGCCAACAGTCATTCCGCATGGCAATGGGTAACCCCTGTGAGTTTTTTGTAGATGTAATGTAAACATTTTTTGTAATAATTAGCGTAAATTAAAAAAATAAAATAATTATAATACTAAAACTTTTGTATAATAGGATTAAATTTCAATGGTTTCCCTAACCCTCTTTTTACCTTCTTGTTTCAATCAATCTTAAATTATTTTTCAGTGCAGAAATATGTTGGAAGCTTTTCTATTTTGTAATCATTAAATAATTGTTTCAGAGATACCATACAACAATGTATTATTTTAACTTGCCCAAGTTAATAAACGTCATTTATTTATGCACTAAATAATAGGTATAGTAGTAATAATAATATTGATATAATATAACAGTATTAATAAAATAATTGTTTACTAGGCTAATATTATAATACGATCTACACGTGTTCATTTTTAACTAAAAAAATACTTAACTACCTAACTGGATAAAGAATAACAACTTATTTCATTAGAAAAGTAAAATAAATAATATATTATACTTTTTATTTATAGTGAATTTATGTAGTTGAATAGGGTGAGTAGTTATATAAATAAATACTAACTATTATTTAGAGCAAAAATAATGATCCTGTATTGTATCAATATCTCACTTTTAAGTATTTTATTATTGACTTAATTGTTAATAATTACATGATAATGTATTTACAATTAATTGCTTGTATTCAAGTAAACATTTTAAAAAGGTAAATCATTTGTTTACGATTATTATCTTTGAATTTTATTATAAAACAAAAAAACAAGTATTTTCTAGTATGATTAATAATTTTATTATTTTATTTGTGAAGATTAAATGTATATCGTTGAACTTAATAATTTATAACAAACAATAGATTTTATGTACAAGCAATAATTCTAATTATTTCTGCACTGGGAATTTTAATTTTTATTGATCTTGTTATGTTAAGCGTAAAATGTTAATGGCAATAACAAATCTGAACTAAAATTTAATAATGCCATTTATTTGAGTATTATATTTGTTTTTTGTAAAGCTTTCGAAATAAATCTTTTTTAAGTCGGTTTAAATTTATTATTTGATTACTGATAATTTTTTGATTTTTTTTTTCATTAATTTTACATTGCGTTATTTTTAATCCATCCGTAGCAGATTGCTATTGTTTTCCAAATATTTAAATACATTTTGTTCTTCTTTTAACTGTCATATATTTTATTCGAACAAGTTCTTCTTAGTTTTATTTAATTCTAACATTAGCTTACATAAATGTATATTTCAATCATGTTGCCATGCTCTCTTATGTGTAAATAAATTATTTTGTTAATTTACTTTGATATTATAACAGCTTTATAGACAATATTATAACTTACATTTATTAAAACAAAACAGAAAACAAAGAAAAAAGTGATTACAGAATTGGTGTGCCAATTATAGTCAGTCGATTATAATTAAACTAATTAATTTTATTAAGAACAGAAATAAATGTTTTTTTTTTTTAATATTTGTATGTAACATTTATAATAAAAATATTCATCATCTTCAAAATGAAAATGATGCTAATTCAAATTTTATATTATAATATTGAATAATTATAATAATAATATTTAATTACTAATTTTTTTTTTAACATCAATATTAATGATATTTTAATTTTTAATTTTGTTAGAATTTAAGTTTTTGACGCATATTTTTTTTTACTGTTAACGACATAAGACTGTGATAACATAATCCAAACGCGGTTTTTAAATTTGGTTATTTACTTTATTATTTTGTTTATATATGAGTTTTTTTTTCATTTTTAATACATTTTATGTTCTATTTGATACAGGGTAAGAATTATTAATGTATACGTCGTGTGTTTAATGGTAGTATGCTTTAAATGTATAATTTTTTTTTGTACTAATGACTATTAACGATGCCCAATTGAAAATAATGAGTCGCATGCCAAATTATTGTTTATATCGTCTGCGTGATTTCTATGTAATTACTATTATATAATTCATAATTGTAATTAGTTATCTTACCTAGCTAAAATCAAGACTATTGTAAACAATTTTTAGTTTAGTGTAATATATATTATAAATATATGTATGTAGCCCTTGGTTTTTCTTTCATAATAACTGTTACTTCGTCCAATGGCAATTTTTTTTTATGTCCACAATAAATAAAAGTAGGAATGCTATTCTACAACTTCTTTTGTTTACCTTCATCTAGGGTTGGTAGATCCAAAATCCTCCAATATAAGTAATTTTTATTAAAGTAATAAATCTGTACATAAAGGCCAGTCTCACTAATTGTAACTTTTGCAAATTAAGATTTTATTTTCCATTAAGCTCTGAGTTCATAAGTTATTTAATTATTTTTTTTTTGCTTCGAGAGAGTGTATCAAGTGTTTTTAAATTTGTATGTATAGGGGATTCACTAGTTTATGCCAACAATTGATATTGGTCCTTTTAGACCCAAGGTACAGAAATACAGAAATATATATATTTATATTATAAATACAGAGTGATCAATCTGATTTAAGACACTCGTTATAATAATTGTCAGTTGTCACATATGTTTCGTTTTCCAAAAACCGGTTTGAAAAACAACTGCTTGTATATCCTTATCTGAAAACAATTTATTGTGTCTGGTTATCGGCGTTATCGCTTATTAGACAGTGCGAACATAAGTATGAATTCTACAGGTTTTTGGAAAACCGAAGACATAATATGAAAATTAAAAGTGCAAATGAAATATCTTTGCAAAATCATAGCCAAAGTTGTGCAAATTCTTATTCGAATAACTATTTCACCATTTATTCGAATAATTTGTTTACAATTTATTTGAACAAAAAGTTATTTGAGTAAAAAAATTGTCTTCCTATATATAATATATAACTACTGGTTTTCTATATTTTCTAAATGTAGTATGTATTCGATTTATACAAAATAATGTTATTAAATATAATTACTTGAAAAAATGCACTTACAAACTATTTAAATGATATTTTTAGAAATTACTCGAATAAATTGTGAAATAATTATTTGATTATCGTTTTATTCGAATAACGTGTTATCTAGATGATTATTTATATAACTTATTCGAATGATGCTGGCTGCACAACTTTGGTCATCCGTCATAGCAAACGAACAGATTGATGAAATTTTAAAATTCAAACGCTAACATTTTTAAACAATTTTTTGTCTACATATGCATGGTATTAAAACACGTACCCGTGAGTATGAGAAAAAATAATTTTCAAAATATTGATATTTTCTATGAAAAAAAAACGAGTATCGGATTGTAAACTGACTTTTCGTCATCGGTATACTTGCGATGGCCATTTTCCTGCAGCTCTTGGTCTTGCCAAAAGCAACGAAACGACTTTGACAACAAAATGTTTGCTTACAAATATCAAAATCATAATTATTTCGTACAAAAAAAATTCTCAACCCCATTTCTTAAGCTCTGTAAACCGGATTTCCCCCTAAGTCTATTGACTTTTATGGAGAGCCGTGTTTAAGATTTTCAACCGTACTATTTGGTAACCTATCTTAGTCGTTTTTTGAGAAATAATTGATTGAGGGCTTTTGTATTTTAGGCTATCGTTTATTAGGGGCACCACATTTACCGTTTATGCATTTCATATGTCCGATTCAAAATGTTTTGCTTGCTTTTTATTGTATTATAATAGGATAATATTTTACTGTATTTTTAAGATTACATATCATACCTACATTACACTTGACAAAAGTGATAAAATACTCTGATCACAGTATTCAGCTGGCAGTAAGTACACGGTGTACTCAAGTGTGATTAATAGCTGTTTGTTATGGTAATTGTTTTAGCTCAAAAACAGTTAATCGTAAGATGGTTAGGCTGAAAAACAACATGTTCCAGTCAAAAAGAAATAAAAGTCCATTTTAATTTTAGTGCAAGAAAATCCAAAATTTTTTTTCTCGAACGACCAACCGGGACGCTTAAACAGTTAATTGGGATTGACCCCATTCCTCGCCTTAATTAGTTTTGCTCTTGTCTAGATATGCAAATGGGTGGTTGTGTTAATCGCTTAAATTAGGGTTTTCGTGTTTTCAACGAGCCATTCATTTAGTTTGACAGTGTTCTAATGAGTAACGACTTAATTAAGGGGTATGAGATATGCAAAATAAGCACTCGCGTGCATTGTGACTGTACAAAACGAATTTCAATTTCAGCGTACCTACCTACCACACTTTAAAGCATGGACCAATCCGGATTAATCACTTGGACACTATTTGGTTTTGGTCGCCTGATTAAAATAATAATTATTGCATTTCTTCATTTACGAATTTTTCCGAATATAGTAGATTAGATTAATAAAACAGTTTTTCGAAAAATATGGAAACTACTAAACGAGACCACTAAGTAAGAAGGTATACGATAATTGGCCACAATTATTTGCTCTACTCAAGGACCACCAGTCAAGATGCGGTACATATGTAGCTACTGCAAAATTGTTGCAAGACTTCCATATAATACACTGATACACAAATATAGAACTCTGAACGCAATTAAAAGATTTTTGTTACTTTTACACGTAAAAAAGTCAAGGATTTTTTTTTTATATTTATATGGAAACAAAGCTTTTGTATTGATCTACTTATTTCAGTATCATTGTCAAACATAACGACGCCTAGACTGCCGCGGTGCTAGTTGCATTTTGCATTTAAAGATATGTCGTATAAAACTATTTCTTTTGCCGGTGAGTAACAACCATGTTAAGCGGTATGTTATGTTATTTATCTGGAAAGAGTCAGTTTGTTTTATAATTGAAAAATCATTCAAGTTCAAAATGCATAAAAAATCGTGTAACTAATTTAGGTCAAAAAACGTTATTTTCCATACATTTCATTAATCATTTTTAGCTAATTTGACTTTTCAGGCAATCCAGATTTAATGGATTTTAAATGTAAATACCAACATTTCCCCGACGGATTTATGTTTTGTACTAGTTCTGCAGCATATCAAGTTGAAGGTGCCTGGAACGACGAAGGTATATATTGAATTTAACAATTTAATTATTGGTATAGGTAATTGACAATTATTAGTATATTAAATATCTAGGGAAGCACAACCTATCGCTTGTAAGGGGTAGGCAAAGAAGAATATTTAAATTAGCGAAGATGGTATTTATGATAAAATCAATTTTATAAGACTTCGATTCGAATCTGTAGACGGTAATAAATATCACTGCAAAGGCAATAAAAAAAAAGGCATAACATATTATTTAGGCAATAAACATTTTTCAAATCCAATGTACAAATGATTTGTGTGTTTAAAAGATGAACAAATATAATTTTCTTTCGCAATAAAAATTACAAACATTTGTATTGGGTCAATATTATTATTATTTTTTTCAATTCACACGAGATTCAATAGATTGTTGTTTTTAGTTGAGTGTGTGGAATTATATACATATATATTTTTTTTTATGATTTTCTTTGATACAATAATAATTTATGTCCGCATGCAGATTTGACACCTTCAGATTAAATTCCATGAACAAGAATAAGATTAATAGCCAGTAGTTATTTGGCTTATGACTGTATTTTTTTTATATTTCTTATATAATAGTAAATTGTTAGACGTGTTTTCTACATTTTATCAAGATGGAAGTGACAGTTGTTTAACTTGATGGTTTAGCATTATAAAGTATCTCTTTTGTAAGCCTTAACACGGATATGTTTTTACTGCTGGGAGTCACGCAAATTGTTTGTGGCATTTCGTGTCAGGATTTTTGTCAATTTATAAATTTAGGTATCAGGAATACTATTGCGTAAAGTGCGCTACAAGACATACACATATCCACGATTGCCGTGTTTTACCGTGGACCGGATAAATTAGCCAGGGTTCTCATATTTTGATCTATACACGTTGTCGTATATACAGGGTGGTGCAATCACTCGTAGCTAGCTTCTGTCGTTTGTATAACAATGTTCTATGTTTGCATTTTTCCAGGAAAAGCCGAAAGCATATGGGATCGAGTAGCGCACACTAGACAAGAGTTGTTTGACGGCGATCCGGATTCAGGAGACACAGGAGATGAACAGAACCCTCCGAGGACACGACTTTTGTTCATGTGCAAAGGCTTGCCAGTGTATCGATTCAGCAATCACAAGCCATGTGCTACCCCTATAACGGGCGACGTCGCTTGTAATAGTTATTATAACATCGCCGAAGACGTCGGGCGTCTTAAAGAGCTCGGCGTAAGACGACCATCATTATCTGACAATTAAATGCTTTGCAAGGGTAGCGAGTTGGCGAGGAAACGCGCTGGGGTCGAAATGATACGTCAGATGTTAAGTGGTTTAGTTTGGGAAATGTCACAAGAGTGGAAAATGATTGGACGAAACAACCTAAAACTTACTACAGCGAAAACGACAACTATTATGAGGATGACAAACGATTATGTATGAAAGTAGAAGGGAACAGGATGAAATGGGTCAGCGTAAATGTACTGTTAAATGTATTTTATATAAGTGAAAAGGTCAATTTGAATGGTGGTATGGAAAGCGTTAGTGATAGATAGAGTTGTCGAGAGGATTAATGTAGTACTGTAATCTTGATCAATGTGTCGCAATTACTTTTGGAAAAGTCTGCCGTAAGGTAGTAATCTAATCCACTAACATAAGTAGCTTACTTCAGTTTTAGTGAAATTGGATTTTTTAATTTTTTATTTATACTTTATTGTAACAAAAAAAAAACATGAGTTATATTATATTGGATACTAAATCATAGTATAAAATCAGTAAAATTACTTAAAAATGTAAATAATTCCGAAGAACTTAACATTAGAAAGGCAATGGAAATGTTGAAAAATAGGAATTAAAACCAATTTTTTTCATACAAAACAAACAATTACATTTTTTAGTTTTTTGTTGTTACTCAATTTTGTTTAGTGAGCACAAAAAAAATATTACCAATATTATTAATAATTCACATCTTGTGATGGGTTTGATATAAAAAAATAAATAAGAGACGCTTACTTAGTTTAAAAATACATCTATAAAGTATGGCGTGAAAAAGTCAAGTAAATAATTTAGAAATAGACGAATGATTTTGGAGTATGACACGAAATCCAAACACAAAAACGACAGTTGGAAGCAAAAAGAAATACAATGTATTATTACAATGAAAAATGACTTCGTTAAACGATAAAAGTAGTTTTCGAATCATTTGAATTTTTTTAGTAAACATTTTATAAACAATATACAATATAATGTTATTATTTTCGTAGTAATATAAAATGTCAAAATAGATTTTTTCAAATTATCTAACAATGCATTACCCTTTTAAAAATAATTATAATTTTGTTATTTATTTGAAGGTCCAAACTTATCGGTTTTCTTTGAGCTGGCCCCGGCTTTTACCTAGGGGCGAGGATAGTCTAATAAATCCGTCTGGCGTTCAATATTACAATCAACTAATCGACGCGTTATTGGAGAACAACATCACTCCCTTGGTACAGTAGCTATTATTTTACCCGATAGGATAATAATGTCATTATTGCTGGTAGTTTTGAATTATTTATTTGCTAAACAGTTAAAAGCTATCCGGACATCGGTCATATTAAATAAATAGTTTTTAATAATATACAAAACGGACTAGTTCCTTTCTGCGTTCCTATTAAGAAACAAATTTTGTTCCTCAATTTTTAATTTAAATAAAAATCAGTTTTGTGTTATGTCCTACAGGAATTTTTTTTTGTCATAACTATTCTATCATTTGATCAAACGAAGAACAGTTAAATTTAATCCATTTAATTGCAAGTTATAGTTGTTTTTCGTTAACGAATCTAAATTACAATTAAATATACATCTTGTCCCATGTTCCGGATGTGTTGTGACTGACCACTGTACCATTATCAAATATAATTGGTAAAATTGGATACATTAAAACACTTGTATTCTAAAAACTACTAGTCTAAAACGAGTGGTAAAGAAAAAAAACGTGCGTTCTGTCTGCGGAGAAACGGTTGATAATAATTTTGCATTTTATCTGTAAACAGTTGATGTACTAAAACTTGAAAAAAAAAAAATAATGCCATTACGACATCTTTTGACGCTTCTTCCAAGCACAGCTTATTTATTATGATAATTTTGAAAAAATCATCTGTACTTTAATTATTTAATTGCTCGAAAGCTTTTCGTTTCACCACAATAGTGTTTGATATTCAAGACCGCGTTGGTCCGTGAAAATTGAATTGTACCCTAATGGATTGCTGCGTTGTACGGTATAAAATAACAGTAGCGAAATTAAAATGTCGGCTTTTAATTAGCGCAAGCTGTGTAATTTATGCCATCAGTTTTTTTTTTGTTGTTGTTTACAGGTAACGATTTACCATTGGGATTTGCCTCAATCGATACAAGACCTCGGTGGTTGGTGCAACAGAATTGTCGTCCAGCTCTTCAGCCGTTACTGCCGGTTTGTGTTTAGCGCGTTTGGCGACCGAGTACGTACATGTTAGCATACTATTGTGATTCGACCTATATATATATATATATATATATAATATATATATAATATAATTAAATTAAATATATATTTCAGGTGAAATACTGGATCACCATCAATGAACCGTTCAACGTAGCCGAAAGCTATGGCAGTGCGTTCGGGGCACCCGCGTTGACTTCGAGCGGCTTCGGGGACTACTTGGCTGTACACCACATAATACTGGCCCACGCCACTGCTTATCGGTTGTACGACAGAGAATTCAGAGCATTTCAAAACGGTTATTTTGTTGTTATATTTTGTCAACCGTAATTAAAAATTAAATAACCAATAAAAATGTACACATACAACTACAACAAAAACGTCTTAAAACTGAGACAAATCGCGAATAACGTTTATCGATTGTAATTTTATTCGATGATTATTTGCTGATAAGAAATAAGAGATAAGAGTTAAGAGATGGTCCAGCTGGATGCTGAAGGTGAGAAGCGGGAGATAAGAGATTAGAGATAAAACATTCGATATTAGAAAGTACCAGGGTCCTATACTTGTATATTAAGACATATCCATGTTCCTATGTACTTCCGTGCAGCGGAGGTCGTGCACAATTATTTTTAAACCGAATAACGCCCAATTTTTTTTTTTAAAGAACTAACTAATGTGCTATTTCCATATTGATCGCTAAAAATAATAATTTTAACAGCCGTTTTTACTGACTAGTTAATCACTAGACTTCTTTCTCCTAAATTGACTTTTTCATCATATATATCAAGTTGTTAAATTATCAAACATATGAGTTTGTACATATTTTATAAAGTTAAAAGTTGGGCTTTTTTTATTACGGATTTCGGTTTCGGTTTCAAGTAGAGAAAATAAAGTTTAGGACTTTCTTCTTACTTCCACTTCACATAAATCGGATATTTACATTTAGGTATTGTTTGTCCGAATCAATTAATTGGGGTAGTAACTATTATTATCGAATATATCCGTGTCCAATATATCTGCTAAATAAATTAGTTATAAAACATCATTAACCCTCAACTTGGAACTGTATCTTTAAAGGTGCATACTATGTTTTATACTATACAACTCTCCTCGACCAACCTAAAATGTATTTTAATTTTAAATAATATTATTCTTGTTATTTAAAAATTAGCCTTAGCAAAGTTAAGGGTTAAATTAATCAATAAAATACTTTAAAAACTAAACAAAGAATAAAAGCTTTTATACATATACACAGGCCAAATCGGTATTTGTTTGAACCTGGATTGGTATCGCCCCAAAGACCCGAACAGCGCACAAGATCATTATGCTGTTCACCGGGCTCGTATGTGGCAATTTGGAATTTTCGCTCATCCTTTGTACTTTGGAGATTACCCGGAAGATGTGAAACGGTCGGTTTCGTTGGTCAGCCAAGCTAACGGTATAACAACAAATCGTCTTTCGGAATTCGACGAATATGAAAAGTGCTTAATTAAAGGTTGGTGTTAGCAATGAGCGTTGGATCCGGCGTTGGGCGAATTTTATTGGAATATAAAAAAAAAATGGGTAATATTTACAGGGTAATTGAATTTGTAGCAAATAATAAATAAATTATTTCTCTCTCCCTTCTCTAAAAAAAAAAACAAGTGTTTTCGAATAATTTCCTAAACGAAAAACATTTTTCTATGTCTAAAAAATATTTCATATAAATTTGGAACTAATTTGACTATTAAAAAAAAAAAAAAGTTATAGGTATAAAGCATCGTCAGTTCAAGCTGAAAAACATATACACTTTTTGGGTGTTTTTTTTTAAAGATTTTGAAGGGGTGAATTTTTAAAAAATAAATTATAGATAATATAATGATTTTCTAAGCAAACTAATCAAAATACAAGTTTTTTTTTAAGTCAGTACTCTTAGAGCAATTTTTTTATTTTAAATTTGTATTCAAAAACTTCTCTGAACCCAGATGCCAAATGCTCGTTTGCCATTTTTTTTGGTATCCATAATTATTATCCATGTCCAGAAATAATAATAATTGTTTTCTTTAACAGGAACTCTGGATTTTTTGGGGTTCAACCATTATTTCTCTGTACACGCCACGACGCTGAAGTGCACGGACAGTAATTATTGTTCGCTTAAATCGATCGATTCGAATTTCGATTTATCGTTTATGGAAGAGTACCCCAAATGGAACCCGATGTGGTTAAAAGTGAATCATTACAGTTGTGTAGAGCGTTATGGCGCTATTGTAATCTAACACCAGATACCGCATAATTTGCGTTTGCAGGATACACCAAGAGGGCTGCGAGAAGCGTTGTGTTGGATTAGAGACACGTATGGCAATCCCAGGTTGTTCATAACGGAAAATGGAGTTGCCGGCAAAGGGCTGGACGAAGACGAGGACGCTTTCTTCAAAATAAGATACCACTATGTAAGTAGATTAAAGCAGGCCAATAAGGCACAGAAATAAAAATTGGACATCCAATACACTCCGCGCTACCGTTCCCCTTCTCCAAATAGCATTTCAGCTCTGCCCTCAACCGTTGTACTTAGGTCTTGTTCAGTATAGTATTTTATATTTTGGGATAGTCACACTGAGAACATGTACGAAATTCCTTAAAAATTATAGCAAGTAAGTATATTAATAGTAGCTGAGCACAAACTTAGCTCAGTGGGTGTACAATTAATCTCGTCCTTAATCCCTCGGCTAAATTACCAAAATCTTGTTTAGCATAACGGAATAATCAAATTTTAATTATACTCCGAAAATAACTGCACGGAGAGACTAGTTTACATCAGTTGCCTATGCAAGTAGTATTTGGAAATTTCACATAAATTATTTTTAAGAACTCAAAAACTATACACTTAATTACATATAAAAATAAATATAATATATTTTAATGGGGGAAAAAAAAGATATTAAAATAAAATATTATTTGAAATTTAATTATTTTAAACACTTAGTAATTTATTTTGTTTTGAATTTTCTGTTTTTATGATGAAAACGAAAATGAGTATTTTTCACCTAAAGAAAAAAATATCCATTTTTGACAAAATATTTGTTTAAAGTGAGCTGGGTCATAGTAAGCTAATTCATTTGTACAGCTGACTTGTGTAGCCTATTTAAAAAAGTTCTATTTCAATTTGTTCATTAAATAAACGGACTAACATAATATATTTAGGGTTATTTAACTTCTGTACTGAACGCAATCAATGAAGATGGATGCAACGTGATCGGTTATGGAGTTTGGTCGTTTATGGACTCGTTTGAATGGTTTTTCGGTTACAAGTAATCATATCTATATTGTTAATAATATTTTTTTATTCAAATGACTTAATGTAAATTATAAATTTGAAAATCATAAAATAAATTTAGGTATAATATATAAAAAATCAATTGTGTTTTAATGTTTCAGACCAAAGTTTGGGATTTATCGAGTTGACTTCGAAGATAAGAAACGTTCTAGATATGGAAAAAAGTCTACACAATTTTTTAAACAATTATTTCAGACTAAGACATTACCCGATGTTCTAGACCAGTTGTATGGTTAAGCCATCATATTTCCCACTAAAGGCTAATAAAAAAATAAAAATAAATTATATAGTTCTAACAAAAACTGCAACGAAGTCGGTTAAATAAAGCTTAAAACACTATTTGTTACTGGCAGTTATTAAAAGGTTAAATTGTCATAAAGACCTTGTTTTATTTATGGATAGATTAACATTAATTTTTTGGAGGAATTTTCTTGTGTGTATTGAAAGTATTATATTATGTTTTTCATTCTTTCATTTCTTGTGCCTATTTGTTTCGTGCAAATGTTATTAATATAAACAGTTTTTATAACTTTTTCTTAAATTTATTTTTGTTTTAAGTATATAGTGTCTGTAATTCTTTTCAAATAATAATTTTAAATCATAATAAAGATATCATAATATGCAATACAATAGATTATTATAGCTCAACTAAATAACACGACATGTTTGCAGGTCGCAGAAAAAGTCAACAAAATAGTACTAAGGAATTGGTAGTTTCTTATTAGCTAACCCTGAGGGATTGACACATTCAGCTTGCAATCGGGTCAACTAAAATTATGGTCGATACATGGGTAAAATGAATGTATAGTTAAAATAACCACATAAACATTTTGGCCAACTAAATGGTTAGTAAAGCAACTATACACTTAGTTATTCAAACTGTACATTTATTGTGCTCCTATATATTTTTCGACTGAACGGCTTTCAATAAAATAATAAAATAATATATATATATATATATTGTTTTGATATAAATGTAATTTCGAAAAGAGCTTTGGTGTTTTCATTTTCCGTTAACCCATCTGTGTGGTTGTGGAGTGACAGACAGATATGTCAAAACACCTTTACCAGGTGCGGGCTTTCTTACCGCATACGTTCTTCCTTCCGGGCACCAGTGTTTCATGTATACGTCAATCGGGTCCATAGGTGGCAACGAAGGTATTTGGGATGTCAAGTGTGCTGCTTGGACAAAAAAAAAAAAATATAGTTGTATTCCATATTAAATATTAATACTCGCCACACGTTATGATGGATGCGGTACATTCTGAGCATTCTTTCTCTCACATTATCACGCAGTAGAAATATAAATGGATACATGTTTGTTTTTAGGTTTGAGACATTTGCTCTCAACAGAGGCGAGGTCACGAGGTGAGGATGAAGATAATGTATGTATATCCCCCATGGCTTTAAAATAGACTATAATATATTATTGTAAAGCTAAAAATAATTTGGAACGTGCGTAAATCAACATTTTATACGAGTGCCCTTTAAAAATAAGCCTAAATCTTGTAAAATGTTTGAGTAATTATATTAAAGTACTTCTCTAGTTATTCAGAATACTTTGTGAATAATTGTTTTCAATAATATTAATTGAATAATATCATAATCATATATTTTACCATATACTTAAATTATTATGGACAAATAATTAAAAGGCTTATCTCATTTGTAGTTTATTGCAGTTGTATTTTATTCTTCTAAATTATTTGCAACGAGCAAGATTTTAATTACTGTGTTCATATTTTCCGATTTCGTAATAAAAAATAAATCAAAATTTAATTCGTCTTCATTATTTAGATTGTCGCAGTTGAGAAAATATTTGTGTAATACATTTTCTATACAATTAAATTAAATGTAATATTAAGTTATAATTATAAATGTTTACATTAGGACAATTTTTTAATAGAACAATATTGTATGTACAAAATAGTTCAGAATTTTGAATAGGTAAACTGTGGACACTGCATCTCGCATTAATACTTACTTAATGTGCTTGGTTTGGACTGTACAGGTTTAAACTGTACTAGTTTGAAAAATGTACTGTTCCAGGCTGTGTGGGCTTATAGTGTGCTTGGTTTTGTTATGCTTTTTCACATTTTTCTAGCTGCTGTCATTTGTTTAGTTATAACCATACAAATTTCTTGAAATTAAATGATTTTCTAAATGTGTAAAGTGAAACAATGCAAACTTATGTACCTACCTGCTTTCCGGCAATCTTTTTCGAAAGTTCCGCCTGTTTGTCTCCTTTGTCAGCGAAAACAGTTGTTTTGGAATTACAAACCCAGTTTTACTTGGCAATTAAAATGTCAGCGATAATTTCAATGGTATATAATCTCAGTGGTTTGGCCGGGAAACGCGCTAAGATCACGTTCTTCTCCGTGACAAATACTCAAAACAATCTTCTGACAACAACTCATTTTTCAGTACCAATTTATTTCAAACAACCGAGATGTTTATTTCTGTTTGGAAATTTATCACTTCCTACAAACACTACAATTGCCGTCTAGACAGATTGTGTCGCCTAAATTACAACAGTGCCAATTGTTAAAACATGTCAAAAACAAAAATATTCATATTGAAATTTCGACTACGTGTATCGATTATGCGGTGTATTTTTTTTTACAATAAAAGGAACCGGAAAGACCAATTTTACATAATTTATTACTTAGATATATTAAATTACTTACAAATATTGTACGATGATTATTTAAAACTAATAATAAGATTTATGTTTTTTTTTTTTAATATAGCTAAATTTAGTAAATATGTCACCTAAGATTTAAATTTTTTATGTAAAGTCATTAGTACAAATATAAATCTCCAACAAAGTAATAGCAATAAATAATAAAACAATATTTTTGTTAAAGAATTTCATAGCTGTTGTTTTGTAATAATAATATTTTTTTAATACACGTGTTATTTACATTTTATACATATACACGCGCCAACTACTTTGAGAATCTGTCGGTAAACACCGAAAATGGAATCTTCAAATCAAGTTAAGTAAAAGTTAAATAAACAAAAAAAAAAACACTTAATAAATATTTTAGTGTAAATACAAACCTGATGTTTCAATAATTTATGATGTTTACCTATTGATAGGTACCTACTTTATAAATAACACTTATCATGTAGATTAAGTATTGTTGTTACAATTAAGAAATATCGTAACCTTTATTGGCTTATGTATGTTGAAACTTGAAAAACATCTATGACGTATGGCGTCATGTCTGGTCAAAGGCTCACACCACTTTATCTGTTTACGGTTGTACTCAAAATACAGTAGTTAATTAGCCAGTAGTTTTGCTAAATCACAATGATTTAGCAGACTGTAAAAAACAAATTCTTAATCAGAATGTGACCGTTCAACTTTTTTATGCCTAATTAAATTCTGTTTATAGCTGTGTATTCTGCTGCAAGGAATGACGTACGCATATTATAAAGAAAGGGCAGGGTTGTTCTATTTGTTTATTTACCATTGTTGAAATTATTAAAACAAATTTAACAATATTAATATACGACCCTTTTCATCTTGTCCTGCGCGAACATCTCCAATGCACCCTAGTGTCCGTGCTAATGGTGGTTGATTGTCCTCCTTGATTATGACTAACTATCCAGGGTTCATGTTCTCTTGTGGCCTGGTCCATTTTGTACGTTGTTGTAATTGCTGGAGATATTCTGCTTGCCACTGGCACCAGAAGTGCTGTGTCGTGGCTTGAATCGTGTGCCATCGTTTTGTCCAAGCCTTGGTTTCTGTGTAATCTGGTTCAGGAAATGTTGTGAACGAACGGCCGACCAAAAAATGTCCCGGAGTCAAAGATCTTGAAGTCTTGAGGGTCATTCGGTTGCTCGCACAGAGGGGCGAGAATTAAGAATTGCTCCAATCTGTGCTAACGCTGCCGCAACGATGCTCGCATCTCAGATGGGCCAGCATGCATTGAACGCCGATGTTCCTATCCAACTAACAACCGTGCGAATCTATCACGTGCTATCAGAACCGGATGTTTTTCATGATAGCTTATGAATGCATTTTGGATCCGCCCCTATACACGAAGAATACTGGAAGCGTCTAAGATGGAGTGCAATGTTTTCAAATGACTCATTGCCGTTTGGAAATGCTGTTTTTTGAACTTTTTTTTTGTCCACACGTCAAGTCCTCCCTTTAATTCCGACGCTGTTAGTGCACCGGTGCTCCTCTCGTTTTCCTTCACCTTGCAGTTTCTAGCAAATCGCAAAATATACAACACTGTAATACCATAGTAAAACCCTTGCGACGTCGACGTCGTTTGTCTAATCCCAGTGGCGAGAAATACTTTTCCCTTTTTAAGTTAACGCGCTCAAATTTGAAAATAAATTAAAAATAAAGTATCGATTGCGTAAGACTGCTTTTTTCTAATCTGTGAAACATAATATTGTTTTATGTTCCATGTCTAGACGGTCTACTATAAAATACGCATTTCAATTAAACCATCCAATAGCTCACAGTAAAAATAACTTAACTAGGAAAAATTTTAAAAATTACGTTTTTTTGACGTTAATGCAGCACAAAGTTAATTAAGTTAAAAGTTAAGTTAATAAACGCCCAGTTAATTAAAAAAGTTTACACAACCTTAACTTTAACTTATTAACTCGGTAATGGCCAGCCTTACTATAAAAAAGTTTTTCAGCCGAGTTTGCAACCACGAAAGAACATTTTCGTGTCTCGTTGGAGTACCGAATAAATTTAGAGTAGTGGTGGAATTATATAGTATAATGATATAGTATTTTAACAAAGTAGTATATTAAAACGTCAAGTTTCTGGCTAAAATTGTAGTGTTTATTATCTGGCTTAAAACAATTCATAGAGAATTTGGGCCCTTAAACTGTTTTGAATTTATTATTTAGTTCTAATTTGAACGTTGAACGTACAACATAACTCTTATCTCTTATCTCTCTTACCCCTATCCCCTACCCACTATCTCCCATCCCTATCACTCACCCCTATCCCCTACCCCTTATCTCCTCCTATCTACCACCCCTATCACTCACCCCGATCTCCCATCCCTACCCCCTACCCCTATCTCCCACCCCTATCACTCACCCCATCTACTACCCCCTATACCCACCCCTATCTTGTAACCTCCCCAACCCCAACTCCATTCCCACCCCCTATCTTCTACCCCTATCTTTCACCCCTAACCCCATTCCAACCCCCAACCCCATCTCCATGTGGTAACGCTTTTTTCGGTTATGTGCCAGAGCTAATTCACACCCCAACCTCATTCCCACCCCCATCCTCATCCCCAACCCCATCTCCGTGTGGTAACGCTTTTTGACATTTTCATGTCTTAGCTCTGGCACATAACCGAAAATGTTATAACGAAAATATTGTAACGAAAAAAGTGTTACGCTGTTATCTGATATGAGATATGAGATAGGGGTGGTATATAGGGGTAGGGGACAGGGGGTTAGTGATAGGGGTAAGATATAGGAGATAGGAGATATGTTGTACGTTCAACGTTCAAATTAGAACTAAATAATAAATTCAAAATAGCTTAATTCTCTATGTTAAGTTACTTTTGGCCAGATAATATACACTACAATTTTAGCCAGAAACTTGATTGTACATAATTTTTTAATCTCCTTGGCTTATGCTGTAACCGGAAGCTCCATGTATTATATTTTTTTTTTAACTATAATTCCACAACTAATCTAAATGTATTCGGTACTTCAACGAGACATGAAAATGTTCTATCGTGGTTGCAGACTCGGCTGAAAAATGGCTGATTTTTCGTTACGCTTTTTACGTTACGATTTTTTCGGTTATGTGCCCAGAGCAAAGACATGAAAATGTCAAAAACAAATTAAAAGGGCTACCATTGTCTATTGTCGCAGTGGTTAAAACTGACACATCTACCCTATTCCTATTCTACATAATTATTGCTATATGGTATAACTTACATGTATTTCTTGTCGGCTGTCAATTAGTTCTGATTGTACTCTATGAAAGTCTAAGTAAAAATTAAGGCTTATAAATAAGCTACACTCCAATAACCAGTCAGTGGGTTAACGCGTTATATTAACTACAATCCGTTAAACCAAAACAATCCGTCAATAATCGTAAAATAAATTTTTGAAAATACACAAGCGTAAATATTTTATATATATATATATAGTAATTTTCGACCTTGATCAATAAGCACAAAATGCCGCTGAGTTATAGAAATTTGAAAAGAAAAATCTAAATTTACATGTTATTTAAATAGGAAATCATCTCGCGTTAAGGGAGAGTACTTAATATTAATATTAAGAGCTCATATTTTTAGGGAATTTTTTTTTGGCATTTCCAACCAAGTCTTAGGCCGGGAGCTAAAAAAACAGCACTCTAATATAGTTACCTAAACACTTATATACATGGGTGACGGGTTATTGAAAACCGATTGCAAAAACGCTCGAATTGTATTGATAAAAAAAAAAAGTAAGGCCACATTTGGTGACAACGTCATAACAATAATAGTCGTAGGAAACATTTATCTTTCTGCCTACTGCTTGGTAACGGCCGACGAGAATAGTAAAATTATATACATATACCTAAATAGGTAGGCCTACCCAGCTATGGGGCCTTTAGGAATGGTATTTTATAGTCCATCTTTAGGTGTGAAAAAATCCAACAGAATTTTTTTTGTGATTTATAACAAAAATAATGGTTTGTGTACAAGACTACAAATAGCTATGAATTATGTTACGAAAACATTGAAAAAGCTAGTAAAATGGCCAAAGGATCGATCCCATTTTCTATGAAAATCTGGACTTCGAAATGGCTATATGTATATTTCTATAAAATGGCCAATATGGCAACGCTGCCGGGTTATGCCCCCATGTAAGTAATCTCTAAGCAACCACTATACATTAATTTGTGTTCGTTCGACCATTTTTCGCCTTTAACACGGGTTTATCGCTCAATATTAAACAAAAACAAAAAGTTTGCGATTATAGCTTAGTATATAAATATGTTTGCTCGGAATAGGAAATCATTTTAAGCGTATATTGTCGTCGCTAGTGTTTGATTAATGTCAAGTCGTTCAATAGTTATTTTATTTCTGCTCTTATTATAACTGTCAAAAGTTAAAACTTTGTTTTCAAAAATAATATAATCTACTAACTACAGGTAAGAAACTGTCAATGCTTTAATTATTTTTATTAAACAATTTATGTTTTTATTAAAAAAAATATAGCTTATTAAATTGTGATCTTTGCGAACACAATTTTTTATTCTGTTCGTGTAACTTGTGCATGCCGTAACATAGGTTTTGGTAAATAATATGTTTGTATCATAATTTTAGTTTTTTTCGAAAAACTATTTTTATGGCATTAGTTTTTTATTTTTATTTATAACGTAAATCAAAAAATACATATTTGTTCAAACCTTACGTGTATCATTTACTCTTTTTTCCACCCCAAAAGTATAATTATAATATTATGTATAACCTCTATTGTTTTATTTGTGATAATATTTATTTTTCATAAATTAAAAAACTACCTAATCTTTTTATAATTATTTACAACTAGAATTAGGAAGGTATAAAAAAAAACACTAGAAAACATAGTGCTAAGTATTTTTTTTTAGAAACACCATGGCGGTCCGTGAGGCGAAGATAGAAGATCTCGCGTATCTCTTTGACCGGCCGACGGAACCTCTGTTCATTGAAAAGGGCAAGGACCAAAAAGTCGTTTTCGATGTTCCCGTGGATTATAGGGTACGGTATTTACTCAAAATTGTTGCATATTATTCATATATAAACAATAATCTTTTAGTAATTCATCAAGCAACAGACCGACATATCATACGCACATGTTTGTATAATATTTTGTTTCTCCGTTTAGCCCGACCGGTACAAACAGTTGATGACGAAGGCTGACCTGTCGGCTAACTTTATACATTTCAGCGTTGAGATCCCGACAAAGCCCACAACCATTAGGGTCAAGCAACTATACAAACTCCCCGACTTGTCCCTCCCCCTGTCACTCGACAAGAACAAGCCGTTCACCGTGTTTAACTCGCACCACAGCGC